TCCATACCAATTTCCATATTGGTTGTACTAGTTTACATCCCCACCAAGCACATGACAAGTGTTTTTTTTCCTCCTATTCTTGCCAGAGATTTTGTGTTCTTGATGGGTGTCTTGGGGTGAGATGGAATCTCGGTGTTTTGGCATTTCCTTTGTGACTAAGGGTGCTGAACATGTCTTCATGTATTCATTAGTTCTTTTGAAAACTGTCAATTCATTTGCCCTTTATTAATTAAATTTAAATTTTGAGCTCGTTTGTATATTCTGGATACTAATCCTGGAATAGCTAGCTGGTGAGGATTTTTTTTCCCATTCTGTGGCTTGACTCTTGGCTCTGGTTATTGTTTCCTCTGATGTGTAGCTTTTTAATGTGAGGAAATCCTGTTTATCAATTATTCCCTGAGCAATTGGAATTCCAGTTTAAAAAATAATCGCCTGTTCTTTTTTATAAAAAAATCATATAAAGGTGATGTACAGAGGAGTTATAGTTGCATACATCAAGTAAATTTCTTTTTGGGTGTCACCCCTTCCCTCGTTTTTTTTCCTTTCCTTCACCCACAAATTATGTAGCTCATTTTCAACATGTCTAATGAGTACCACCACTGCATTTGTTCCCCCAAAAGTTTTTATTTCCTGGAGTTCACTTTGATTTTTTTTTTTTTGGGGGGGGGGGGTTAGTCGTGGGACCTGAACTCAGGCCCTGGGCCCTGTCCCTGAGCTCTTTTGCTCAAGGCTAGTGCTCTACCACTTGAGCCACGGTGCCTCTTCCTGTTCTGGCATTTGAGATCTAGCTTCTACACATGGGAGAAAACATGTGCCATTTCTCTTCCTGAGCTTGGCTTACCTCACTCAACATTTGTCCTAGTTCCATCCTTTTCCCTGCAAATGACTATTATTCTTTCTAATGGCTGTGTAAAATTCCATTGTGAATAGGCACCACATTTTTCAGGTCTACTCATCTATTAGGATATCCGGGCTGTTACCACAATTTGGCTATTGTGAATAGTTCAGCAATGAACATGGATGGTATCCTGGCTTCCCTGTTTTTGTGTAGTAGTTTCAAAGATTCAGATCTTCCAAGAATGGACCAGTGGCTTATGCTTGTAATCCTAGCCTATTCATAGGAGGCTGAGGTCACGGTTTGAAGCCAGCCTAGGCAGGAAAATCTGTGAATCCTCTATCTACAATTAACCATCAAAAAGCTGGAGGTGGAGGTATGTGGCTCAAGTAATAGAGCATCAGCCTTTAGCAAAAAAAAAGCTTAAGGACAGTGTTCAGCCTGAGTTCAATTCCCAGGATCATCACAAGAAAAAAAGATTGGGGCTGGGAAGGTGGCTCAGTGGTAGAACGCTTGCCTAGCATGCATGAGGCCCTGGGTTCGATTCCTCAGCACCACATAAACAGAAAAATCTGGAAGTGGCACTGTGGCTTAAGTGATAGTGTGCTAGTCTTGAGCTGAAGAGCTGAGGCCCAGGCCCAGACTTCAGGTCCACGACCCCCCCCCCCCCAAAAAAAAAAAAAGAAAAAAAAAGATTAACACTACTAGATTTCATTCATGGGTTGAAGTCTCTGTATTTGCATTTTCATTGTTTATTGACTATTAATATTTATATATGCCTTTTCTTTACAAGTCTTGTGTTTTTCTTTTTTTTGGGTCCGGTCGTGGGGCCTGAACTCTGGGCCTGGGCGCTGTCCCTCAGCTCTTCAGCTCAAGGCTAGCGCTCTACCACTTGAGCCACAGCACCACTTCCGGCTTTTTTTCTTTTTTCTTTTGCTTATGTGGTGCTGAGGAATCGAACCCAGGGCATCATGCATGCAAGGCAAGCGCTCTACCACTGAGCCACCTTCCCAGCCCCTCTTTACAAATCTTGTCCAAAGTTTCTCTTTGGTTTTTTTTTTGGTGGGGGGGGTAAGTTCGTGTGTGGGAAGCTTGGTCTCCAACATTGGGAGCTTGAGAGTAGGGATCCAGTGCCACATAATTAGGTCACGTGGGCAGTGCCGTTGGAAAGCATTAATGCTGCTCTAGCAGAGTGAGTTTTCTTGAGAGCTAGTCATTAAACAAGCAAGCATGCCTAACCCCTGAACCTCTGCTTTCTCGTCTCACTGTCTGATCTTGCCCTCCCGCACAAGTCATACACTGTGATACCTTCTGCCGTGAAGACTTCACCAAAGGCCAAGTGGGGCTGCCCACTCTTGGACTTTCAACCTCTAAACGTGAGCTAAATCTCTCTTCATAGAGTAGCCACCCCAGGTGTTTAACTTATAGATAACACCCAGGATCTTTTTTTGTTGGTTGTGGGGCCTGAACTCAGCCTGGGCACTGTCCCTCAGCATTTCAGCTCAAGGCTACTGCTCTACCACTTGAGCCACAGCGCCACTTCTGGCCTTTTCTGTTTATGTGGTGCTGAAGAATCGAACCCAGGACCTCCTGCATGTGAGGCAAGCACTCTACTACTGAGCCACCTTCCCAGCCCCTTGATCAGCTTTTGATTTCTATTTTGCCTTAGTTTTTCAATGTATGGTGGGACCACTTTTCTTAGCTTATTGTTTAAAGTTTAGTGCATTTCCCTCCTCAGGCAGTTGTTTCTTAAATGTTTGTAATGGTGTATGTATAATTCTTGAATTGTATTCTATGAACATTGTACCCTACTTGTAAGTTAACAAGTTAGCTTGCTACAGTTTTCTAAGATTCTGGTAGTCAAAGATGAATTTTTTTACTCATCACACTTTGCTGTATGAGTTTGGTACCAGTTCAAGTCCTAATTAGTCCTAAGTGATGTAAATGAGACTGAAAGATAGATACCTCCACTACAGAGCTTATTACAAAAGGGATCCTGAGCTGAGTGATTTTAAAAAGGCATTTTGGTCATAGGGAAACCTTTTTTAAGATGTTCACCATCACACATCTTTGAAGTGATAGTTCAAAACAAGAACAAAAGCAAGGCTGGTGACATCACAGCTCAGGTGGTGAGACTATCTGGCCACAAGGTCCTTGTGTTCAAACCCAAGTACCACCTAAATAAGATTAAAAAAAAAAATAGCTGAGCACCAGTGGCTCATACCTGTGAATTCTAGCTACTTAGGATTGTGATTTGAGGCCAGCAGAGGCAGAAAAGCTCAACTAACTCATAGTTCGGTGCACTGGCACACTTGTCAAGCTATGTAGGAGGCTGACATTAGGAGGATCACAACCCAGATTAGCCCAATCAGAAAAGTCCTCAAGACTCTATGGTGATATTAGTACATGATAGAAATAAAAAAAAGCGGGGGGGGGGGGGGGGGGAGGGGGGGAGGGGAGGACTGGAGGAAAGTCTTAATGCACCCAGAGTTCAATTCCCAATGCAGGCAATGAAGTGCCTCCAAAAAATTGTCTTCTAATCATCTGTAGACCCATGTTGGGGAAAACTGATCTCTGAAAACAGTTTTGCAACCCAGGAATGAAGTATGTATCTTCATTTCTTTCAGCCATATTTCTAGTTTTCATTGTAGAAGTCCTTCCTGCATTTTTCAGTTCCTAGAAATTGTTTTATTCAGGTATTCTTAAACATTTTATTGCTAACTTAGAAATTCTATTTTTATGTGCTGTTTTTTTACATGCATATTAGCTGCTTTACTAATGACATACTATGAAATGCCTAAATTTTATCAAAAGCCTTTTCTGCTCTTACTGCAATAAAAGTTTCTCCTGAATTCTATTAATGTAGTGAAGTATCTGAATTTGGTTTTCAAGTGAGAATTGGGGCTTGTATTCTCAGGATAAGTCTCACACAAATCATGTACAAATACACTTTTGTGTGTATGTGCATAAAATGAAAGCTTTTGATGTTGTTTTGTCACGTTAATCATATTACATATTAACATACAACCAAAAAAAGCTGGGACTTATCCATAGAAACTGCAGCGGTCTGAGAATGTTTTTGTCTAAAAAATATAAATGGGGCCACTGATGGTGGCTCACAACTGTAATCCTAGCTATTCAGGAGGCTGAGATCTGAGGATTACAGTTCAAAACCAGCCTGGGCAGGAATATCTGTGAGACTCATCTCCAATAAACCACTAGAAAACCAGAAGTGGCGCCGTGGCTCAAGTGGTAGAGTGCTTGCCTCGAGCTGAAGAGCTGAGGAACCCAGGCCCAGAGTTCAAGCCCCACAACTAGGAAAAAAAATTAAAAAATATATATGGGAAAGTAGTTTTGTTTGCTCTAGACATTTTCAGTTGTGTTTTCCAGCATGTATTAAGAATAGTACCTGTTCCCTGACTCCCACAGTTGCTGCTGAGAAGTTGGGTGTGCACTCACTCCTTTGAAGACCATACGCCCCACTCTTCAGTACACCCTAGGTGATTCTAAGAACCTACAGATGCTCAACATCGAGGATGACAACTTGTCACAATTGTAACTACTTAAGTATAAAATGCATTTATTAAGTACTACTACTACTAGATAGCCTTGCCTTGTTGCTGCTCAGTACTGCAGACTACCCTGTCTCTGCCACTCCTTTGAAGATGGCTTCCTCCAGAGAGGATCTGGGCACTCCTATTCTTTTGTGTTAGTTTCTAAGCAAGAGTGCAAATTTAGATCCAAATCTGAATAAAGGAATTTCAAAGAAACTTCAGAGAATTAAAAAAAATTCATCTATTGAAAGTTCTGGTTTTCAACCTGGGTTCAATTCCTCAGTACCACATAAACAAAAAAAGCTGGAAGTGGCACTGTGGCTCAAGTGGTAGAGTGATAGCCTGGAGCAAAAGAGTTCAAGCCCCAGGACTGGGGAAAAAAAATAAATTCTGGCTTCAGGGTGGCTGGCAGTAAATGACTTCCCCTGGCCACCTAACTCAGCAGCCCAGGCTAAAGCTTCGGGCCTTACCTGCTACTTGACCTCAAAATTCCTGTCATTACCTCTGAAGTAGACTAGGAGAACCACAGCACTGGGTTTTTATGTTTCTCCTTCACAGGGAGGGGTATTTTAAGAAAAAAAAAAAACTTAAAATTATAAACTGAGCCAACATATTATATGAATATTTTAATGCAAAATGCTTAACACTTAAAATTAGCAAAGCTCCATTTAAATTAAAATTCCATTTAACTAAAGATGGTTAACCCCAAGAATCGTACAGTAGTTGACTTCTGTATAATGCCAGTCCTATATGCAATACAATAAGAACTGCATCATTAGCTGTCACTTCCTCCTTGGCTGTTCTGGACCCTAACAGGTGGGGCAGGGTGCTCAGACAGACATGAAATAAAGTAAAACTCAAAGTAACTGTGCAGTAATTCCTAAGTTAGAAACCCATTTGACTAAGCTGTCCAAACAGCTGGGGAATAACTGCAGGTATTTGTTCAGAGCTGGTAAGAGGTTTTGTTTTACAACGTGGTAAAATCTGCACTAGGTGAGAAGTCACAGTATAAGGATGCATGGTCTGTAAATAGTTCCTACATATACACACTTAGTGTCTGTAAACACTAGAAATATACATTAGACAGAGGACCCTCACAAGTCGGGCACAGTTTAAAAAAGAAGATGAGGTAACATGAAATCTCAACGTCCACAGGAATCCTGCCTGAAGAGTTTGAACAGCTGCCAGTGATTCATTTCCAATGTGCAGGGAGGGTTACGGTTTGCTAAAACCAGATTCACTGGCTTTCAGCATAGCAACTGCATCTTTCACTGCATGGTAGATAACATTTTTCACCTAAAAATGGGAAAAAAGGTGATTGTTTACCATTAAATAAAAAACTCTTGTCACAAAAATATCCCTACCACCAATTATCCACACATCTCCACTTTTTGTCAAGAGCTATTATAAAGTAGTTGTACAAAGGTTGGAGGATAATGCATCTTGAGCAAAGTCTTTCTGCATTCCGTCCCTACCCTCAAGTAATATAGTTCAACTTTTACATAACGTACATTGAATATAATGACCATCTGTCAGAACTGAAAAGTCAATATTCATCAAGAAATGCCCGTATTGCTCAGGCTTCTTCAGATCAGTATTTCACATAGTTTAATGCCATATGGCCTGACAAGTTCAGTGGGATGTTTACTATCACTTGAGCTATGCCTCTGGTCCTTTATACTAAACTTAGACTTGGCCGATTCTGCCTGGGTTTTCCATGTAGCTGGAACTACAATGTACACTACCATGTCTGACCTCTTGAAAGTCTTTGTTCCCAGAGATTCCAGTTTTGCTCCATTTACAGTCCATGAAACCCTGCAGCACTAAAGCGCAAGCATCCTGGTTCACAGGATGATTGCTGGCTGAACTAGAGGTCAGAGGTGAGAACTAGGTAGGCTCCGTTTTTAGTAGTAAAGCCTTTCTCTCTGTGCACAGGCCAGGAAGTAAATTTCAAGCCAGCGTGAATTTCTTCCTCTAGGTTTGCTCCTCCTTCACCTAAGTAGATAGCAAACTAGGTATTTTGGGGGCAGGGACTGGGGAGGGTTAACATGAGATCTCATTATGGAAACCAAACTGGTTTGGAACTTGGGATCCTCCTGCTTTGGCCTCCATACCCAGCTCTTGGGCCCTGATGTGCATGGGACTTACTGTTCCAAGTCCACTGGCCCTCTCTATAAGGTCCTTCTAATAAATCGTTTCACTGTGAGTACATCAGAATCTAAGGTTGGTTCTAAGGACTTTTATGGGCCATCATGCCAGAGATAACAATGCTATTTTTACCTGCAATTTGTCTTCATGGTTGGTGTGAGTCTGTGACAGATAACGGAATTCCTGAGTAAGCCAGAAGCAGTGTTTAACATGCTCTGGAGACACAAAGTCTTCAGCCACTTTGATACAGCTATATAAGTTATGAACCTGAAAAACACCAACCCACATCTGTTCACAAACTCAAAAGATCACAGTAGAAAGATAATAAACAAAAATGAATGTGTGGAATAGTTTTTACCTGATGTGGAGCTCCTGCTGGGATAAAAACCACATCCCCGAGAAACTGTACAATAGCCCAGCCTTGAACTCCATATTCTTGATGAAGACGCTTTCTTAGTGACCGGTCTAAATACCAGCTCTGATCATGAATAGGATCATGGTCTGCTGGGTTTTCTTGACCTTGTTCTTCTGATACCTAGAAACACATTCAAAATAGCAAGCAACTGAGCAATGTACTAAGACTCAAGCTAAGCATTTCCCCCACTGAATAGTGTTGGTAATTAGTAAATGTTGGGGTTTTGTCAACTGAAGTGTCCCAGTTAGCAGAGAATAGTAGTACTGAAGAGATACTGACAAGGGCTGGGAAGGTGGCTCCGTGGTAGAGCGCTTGCCTTGTATACATGAGTTCGATTCCTCAGTACCACATAAGCAGAAAAAGCTGGAAGTGGTGCTGTGGTGGTAGAGTGCTAGCCTTGAGCTGAGGGACAGCTCCCAGGCCCAGAGTTCAGGCCCCACAATCAGAAAAAAAAAAAAAAAAAAGAGATACTGACAAATGATAAACTCAGGCTCCTTAGATAAACTAAATGCTTTACAGCTTTCATTGAATAATCGAGTTCTGAAAATTCCCAGGGTCTATACATAGTAAGCAGCAGATTTTCTGGAGTCAAGTGATCTTGACTCCATGTTAAAGACCTACTTCATTGTCATGCAGTGGGGGAGGAGTGTTCACAGCCATGCTCAAGGAAGGAAAATGTTTGTCAGCTGATTGTAACCAGCAGCCTCAGCACACAATGACGCAGAACTACTATATAGTGCCCTTCCTGGACAACCTGCCAACCAGACTGTTCCAAATTCTTTTACACTGGGGCCAAAGACTGATACTTCTGAAGTGCTCAGATTTCAAGGAAGTAAAAACAAACACATTAGGAGACACCACATGAACTAACTTGACAACAATAATCTCCCAATGCACTGTAATATAGAATAATCATAAAAGATAAAGCCTCTTTCTTTAGAATAACAGCCCTCATCTTCTTAAGTCCTTAGCAACCACTGTCAGCCTACCCAATCTGACATGCCAGTTGGTTTACAGTATGTAAGTAGTAATTCTTAACAATGCTATTCTTTTCAAATGTCAAGAGTGAAGGATCACACCTTTTTAAGAAATTCCCTTATCTTCTCCGTGTCCTTAGCAGCATATATGTGCCAGAGGGCTCCTGGCTTCTCTTTTCCTTCTATAAATCGTTTTATTGTAAGTTCATCAGAATCTCCGTCTTGGATGGTTCTAAGGACTTCTAGAGCAAAAGAAAGCAAATATCAGAGCTCAGGCACCTAGTCTACTTTTTAGGGAGTGAGAGTAGGGGGGACCCTGGGATTTGAATTCAGGGCCTTCATGCCTGTTATGAAAGCACTTGACAACCTACCTTCTTCCTGCTCACACTGTCCTTTGGGAATTCCCACATAAACCATGACATTAGCTGCATCAGATACATCCAAGTGAAGATTGGTTGTTCCATATTTCCGATCTTCTGGAGTGATTAATCCTGCAAAAACAAAAATGTCTTAAAGTTACTGAACACTGCCTTAGGTCTTTCTACATTAGATACTGGTCACAAAATTTCTATGATTATGCAAAAGTTAAAAAAACATTATTTTACCTTTTCAATTTTGAAACATACTTATCAAATATCTAACTACAAAAATAATTAAAACTTGCTTCTGGGGGCTAAGAAGGTGGCTCTGTGGTAGAGCGCTTGCCTTGCATGCATGAGGCCCTGGGTTCGATTCCTCAGCACCACATAAGCAAAAAAGAAAAAAGCCGGAAGTGGTGCTGTGGCTCAAGTGGTAGAGTGCTAGCCTTGAGCTGAAGAGCTGAGGGACAGCGCCCAGGCCCAGAGTTCAGGCCCCACGACTGGACCACCCCCCAAAAAAAAACTTGCTTCTGGCAGCAAAGTAGTTCTCTAACAGATTATTCTGCTGACAACAGCTAAAAATTCTGGGTAAAATTGTATTTTCTAAAAGTTTTTTGTCAGTATGCTAGCAAAAAAGAAAAAAAAAAAGGTATGTATGTGGGGAAATACTTGGAACCAAAAACTCTATTAGTAAAAGCTGACTCCTGAAGCTAGTATTTTCTGAAAGGACATTTGCTTACTTAATCAGGTGAGCTCAGGCTTTGGCCATGGTAGCTACAGAATGTTCCAGGGCAAGAGGCATCAGCCAAGGTCTGCTCAAGGGAGGAGTCCATTAGAATCCTCCTACTTCCATACAAGAAAAGCTGACACTGCAAATGGTGGAGAAGGAAGGAGGGATTGCTATCTAGCTCCCTGAGCCATAGTGAGGTCACTTCTTACCTTTGGAAGACTCAGTTGTTAGCTCAGTTGTTACCCTGGTTGGCTCATTTCTAACCTAAGAAAGACTCTTCTCTTTACACTGGATGGCAGAGGAAGCATGTCTTAGAAGGGCAAGCAATGACAGTCTCTGAAAAGGGCCAATACAAGCTGGGCGCTGGTGGCTCCCCTTTAATCCTAGTTACTCAGGAGAGTTCTGGGGATCTCGGTTCAAAGCCAGCCTGGGCAGGAAAGTCTGTGAGACTCTTACCTCCAATATACCACTCAGAAAACCAGAAGTGGCGCTGTGGCTCAAGTGGTAGAGCACTAGTCTTGAGTTGAAGGGTTGAGGGACAGAGCCCAGGCCCAGAGTTCAAGACCCATGACCGACAAAAAAGGGGCCAATACTGTTTGGAGGAGGGCTTGCGTAGGGATGCCATTTGAGAGGCTATGCTTAGAAGAGGATGCTTTAGAAGTCTTAGAGCCTTATTACAAGTTCTTTCCAACTTGCTGAAGTATCAGTCCCAAAAGAAGGAAAAGCATTGGGTAGGTATTAGGGTGAAATCACAGGATAGATAGATAGTCTTTAAAATGGTGAAGATTAAGGGATAAAATAATGAAACAATTATAACAAAAAGTTGGTAACTATACTCGGTGATGAGTCTATAAGAGTCCATTTACTAAACTTTATTGAGAAAGTCTTCAGTGTATCTGGAAAATATTTCCATATAAAAACTTTAAAGTTCAGGGAAAGCAATTAACATGCTAAAAATAAAATTGAAGTTGTATAAAACATCTGATCCTACTTATTAAGCTCAAAACAGAAGAGAAACAAAGTACTGGCCTAGTGCCATGGCTCAAGTAATATGCCTATCTGTTAAGGCCTGAGGTCCAAATCCCATTACCGCCAATAAACTCTACAGTCTGAAAATGTTGTATAGGGAAACAAATATAAATGGTAAAATTGTAAATATTAAAGAGAAATGAACACAAATTTAGGCCAAGTGGTAAAGACTAATGCTCCCAAGAGAGTAAGAGTTGTGCATGATAAGGAAGGAAAACAATGGCCCAAAGTCTATTTGATTACAGTCATAGGTTATTTGCATATGGATACATCACACATTAAATTGAGGAAACAGTAATAGGAAAGAATTCCCAGGACAGTTTTGTCAGAGAGATTTTACAGAGTAACACTGCCATCTATCTGAGAGTATTAAGGAGAAAAAAACCTACTCTACTGCCAAGCTATTTAAATCACGCAGGTAATTTATCCTGAAAAATTTCTCAGATAATCTATTTCTATTCCAATTACCTTCTAAGTACAGATACTCATGATATGCTACTAATGGAAGAAATGCTTTGATCTGCCAAGAATTACTGTAAAACCCTACTGTCAATAGCTGCTTTGGTTAGGACCTGAAGGGCCTGAGGGAAGGGAACCCAAAGCCCTTGCAGAGAAAGAATATGCAGGAGGATTTCCACCTTTCCTGCTCTGCTGTGCACATTATTTCTACTTTATCCTGAAAATCTCTCTTGAGAACCACTCATCACTGGAAGTGTTCTACAACTCCCAGTGGTGCCTAGGTAGACTCAAGTATAACTGTGTTGGTAAGGGGGGAAAAAGGGGTGTGGTGTGTCAGTTCGTCTTCCCCCCAATCATCCCAAGAGAACAAAGGTATCAAGATTCTCTCCTCTGAGCAAGGCTGTGGTCTAAGAGGCCAGCTGTGGAAAATGACAGGGAAGTAATTATGGAAGGAACCAAGTTTCCATTAAGACTGGAAAAGTGACAGGCAAGCAGTAAGTGAACTTCACTGAAGGAATCAAACTGGAACTTCAACGAGAAGGAAATCCTCCAAACAGCCAACTTTAACCCAGTCCTACTTTAACGATTATCTTATATTGAAACTAGACAGGAGACTATGACAGATGATCAAAAGTACAAGACCACCCTAGGATCCATTTAAGCAACATGAAGATTCTGCAATATAAAATCAGATGTAGAGAAGAGAAAAAATTACATACACTTTATACCTTTATACCTGCAGCTATGAAAAATACACATGGCCAAGGAACCAAAGGAGTTATACAAGCACAAAAATAGTCAATGTGTTAGCTATTAGCTATTTTCCATCTCTCTCTCCCCGAAAATCAATTTTCCAAACATCTTGTTTTATTTCCATTATATTTTTTTAAAACCAGCTGTTTCTTCTTACCATAAGCATTGTACATCTTGGGACCCAGGTCTGGCCGAACAAAGTAGTTTGGCAGCCTAGAGGCCAAGTTCAGTTTGCCATCTCTCCTTGTGTACTCAGGCAGTGGAATGTTAGCCATCAGATCATCAAATCTAGGAGAAAGCCAGAAATTTGCCAAATAAGCCTGCTTTTCTCAGTTATTGTATGATTTATTTTGCTCCATTTTCTATACCAAAAGAAACAAATATATCTGTGATCATTAAGTTGGATATAGCTATTGGTAATATTTAAGACTAGAATTACAGCAGTCATGAACAAAGACATTTTTCTTTCTCCTACATCTCAAAAATGTGCCCAAATGTTTTAGAATATCTTAGACAAAATCTCTGAACAGCCAGGCACCAGAGATTCATACCTATAAAACCTAGCTAATTGGAGGCCTTGAGCTGAGGACTGCAGTTTGAAGTCAGGCCAGGCAGTGAAGTCTCTGAGAGTTTTACCTCCAATTAACCACACAAAAGACAAAAGTGGTTGGGCCAGGAAGGTGGCTCAGTGGTAGAGCGCTTGCCTTGCATGCATGAGGCCCTGGGTTCGATTCCCCAGCACCACATAAGCAAAAAGGAAAAAAAGCCCAAAGTGGTGCTGTGGCTCAAGTGGGAGAGCGCTAGCCTTGAGCTGAAGAGCTGAGAGGCAGTGCCCAGGCCCAGAGTTCAGGCCCACGACTGGAACACCCCCTCCCCCCGCTCCCCCCCCCCCTCCAAAAAAAGAAAAACAAACAAAAAAAAAGACAAAAGTGGTATAGGTGCAGTGATTCAAGTGGTAGAGGATACTCGAGCAAAAAAAACCCCTCAGGGACAGTACCCAGACACTGAGGTCAAGCCTGAGGACTGGCACAAGATCTGGGCAGCAACTTCCTGATTAAGAACACTCAAGGATAATGTATTACTAAGTAGCTGTGACGTTCCTTTTCATGATTTCATGCTCAACTCAGGAAAATGGAGCTACCAATTCAGAATACTGAGAAGTGACTGGCGTTTCCCCCATCTGACTGTAAACTGGCTACAGGTCTACACCAACCTCTTCTGTGGTGGAGCACTTCCCCCATTAGTCAAGCCAGATCTACAACTCATTAGCTTTACCTCATTTAAAAACACATCTCCTGCACCAGTGGCTCATCACCTCTATAACCTTGGCTATTCAGGAGGTTGAGATCTAAGATTTCAGGGTGGACAAATCCTATAGACTCTTTAATCTCTAGCAAACTAACTAGCAAAAACCTGGAACTAGACGTGTAGCTCGAGTGCTAAGAGTGCTGCCATAAGTGAAAAGCCAAGATCAAGTACCAATACAGACATTAAAAAAGAAAAGCAAAAAACCCCAAACCTATCTCCGAAAGTTATAGGTAAGAAATAAAAGTATCAGTAAAACCTTGGAAGTTCGATATCCCAAATGACTTTTTTTTTTACGGCCTCAAAGAAGAATTTAGCTGGGCTGGGAAGATAGCTCAGTGGTAGAGCGCTTGCCTTGCACGCCTGAGGCCCTGGGTTCAATTCCTCAGCATCACATAAGCAAAATGGAAAAAAAAAAGCCGGAAGTGGCGCTGTGGCTCAAGGGTAGAGCGCTAGCCTTGAGCTGAAGAGCTGAGGGACAGCGCCCAGGCCCAGAGTTCAGGCCCCACGACCGGACTCAAAAAAACAAAAAAAAAAAAAAGAAAGAATTTAGCCTACCAAATCAAAACCTCTCTCTACCTTTAGAATCATACCTGGAAGGCATCATATCTCTAAAATCTTCTCCTGGTGGCCAGTCCTTAAGTTTCAACACCATTGGTTCTTTATCATTTTTCAAACGATCTGAAAGGTAACATCCAGATTACATTAACTATTTGTAACTCAGAAACACACAACAAATTAGCATATTTTTGTTTCAACAATGGAGACAACTTCTCTATATAAAAATTTCACAACCCATTTAGAATAGAAATTCTATTTTTAAAAATCCCCCACTTACCAATTGCAAACCCTTTTATTCCTATAGCATCAAATTACTGTGTACCCTTGAAGACAGAAAATTAAAGACCCCAAATTAAGGTGTATTAGGGTCATATCTTTATAGATGGTTCTTTAAATTGTTACTTGTTCCTTGAGGTCCAGCCATTCCTTTAAGGCCCATCTGCTTCTCTTGCTCAGTGTTCCAGAAGCACCATGCAGCTCCCAGCTAGCCAAAGCATCACACTTTAATAATCAAAACCCACAGGGGTTTAAATATAATTTTCTGAGGCAGCATGAAATAAATATGACGTGGTTTTGCTCAGAGATGGAGACCACCTCATCTTCTTTGAGGGTTTTCTGGGCAGTATCTCTCAGGTTTAAGTCAGAACATTTTTTTGGGGGGGGGGGTGTTGTCCTTGTAGGGCTTGAACTCTGGGCTTGGGCGCTGTTCCTGAGCTCTTCGGCTCAAGGTAAGTGCTCTACCATTTGAGCCACAGCACCACTTCAGGTTTTCTGGTGGTTAATTGGAGATGAGTCTCACAGACTTTCCTGCCCAGACTGGCTTTGAACCATGATCCTCAGATCTCAGCATCCTTAGTAGCTAGGATTACAGGCATGAGCCACCAGCACTCAGCTTAGTCAGAACTTTTTTTGCACTATGAACTTTATAACTTCCAAGACTTGTAAGATTAAAAGAGGAAAAGTAGACACTTTTTTACATCTCAACCCCCTTGAAACATCTTTCATACATACTGGGAACATCTTCAAATCCATCCCAGAAGTCTCCCACTGTGGCTCCGGTGATGATTTCATTGGTCCTACAATTAACTAGGTCCACTTCCTGCTCACCAAACTCTTTCCGAAAGGATTCAGGTTTCCAAAGTTCAGTGTTCAGTTTATGATGTACTCCTGACACCATCACTGGCTACAAGGGAAGAAAGAAAACTTTAGTTTGAATACCTCTGGCTCTGTGTAGGCCACAGACAGCCCACCTTCAAGCAGCTACTGGCTTGTTTCTATGTGGCTGTTCTTCAGTCTCAGCCGACAACACAATGGCTTTTAAAGCAGCTCTAATCCTCACCATTCATCTATTACACATTCTGGTCTCAAACTACATTACTAAGCTTCTGCTAGGGAGGATCACCCTACTGACCTGGATCCCGTTCAGAATAAAAAGGCCCAGGGCCAAGCAGGGATGTCCTTCAAAAGTGCACTGCTATGGGCCTAACAGCCCACCACTGACAAGCAGCAATATGGATCTGAAGGTGCCAATACTTTGTTGTCCAGGATACCTGGGACTTATGGTAAAAAGCCTGCTTTTAACATACTAGCCAAGGACTACAGTGTGGCTAAATGGTATGAAGCATGAAGTCCTGAGCTTAAATCCTAGCACTGACAACAAAAACAATGCTGAAAATAACTTCAATAATTTTTACGCAAGCAAGATTTATACGGTATTATATAGTGAAAAAAAGCCCTGCTGGTTTGGTTAACTGTTCCTACAACCTCTGAATGTTAGCAAATCCTAGTAGTATACACAGAACTCAGAAAAACACCAAGTTGCTGTGCAACCCTTTTCTATCTGACACTTCCCCCAAATTCTTGTCCAAGAACAATGTGTTCTTTTAGTGGGGATACTACTTGGCTAAAAAGAAAATCCAAAGATCCAGAAAGCAAAACAAACCAAAGCAGCACAGAAATGGGCCAATAAAGCTATCCATCTCCTAAACAAATCAACCACAACTCAAGCCTTAACAATACTGTTTTTAAAGAAGGTTCCTTGGGAAGGGGGGAGAGAGGACACTCTGACTGATATCACATGGCTCCAACCCTCCACCTGCAGTCAGCACAGGCTTTTATGCAGGGAAGTAGAAAGCATAATTTTTTTTTTTTTTTTGGGGGGGGGGGGGTCCAGTCGTGGGGCCTGAACTCTGGGCCTGAGCGCTGTCCCTCAGCTCTTCAGCTCAAGGTGAGTTCTCTACCACTTGAGCCACAGTGCCATTTCGACCTTTTTTTTTTTTTTCCTGCTTATATGGTGCTGAGGAATTGAACCCAGGGCCTCATGCATGAAAGACAAGCACTCTACCACTGAGCCACCTTCCCAGCCCGAAAGCATAATTTAAAAAAAAACTATTTTGTCTAATCCTCCAAGACCCACCTGCCTGCCTCTTAGTCACACTTCTATTTCCCCTGTTCATGTCCACTAAACATGATTCACTAAGCCTGTGCCTCATTGAGAAAACAAAAAACAAGAAAACAAGGCATGGTGGCCTGGAATCTGAGCTAGTTGTGGGGGCAGAAACAGGATTGTATTCTGGGGCCAGCCCAGACTAAAGGCCTGGGTCATGACTCAAGTGGTAAAAGCTTGCCTATGACAAATGAGGCCTGAGGTCAATCCCCAGCAGGAAAAATGGGAGGGGAAAACAAAATAACCACAAAACAAGGATGGCCAACGGGAAGCACTCAAGACTCTTAACTGGGAAAGGCAAGTTAAGCATAAAGTAAGACACACAGCCACCCCCATCCTCCATTAGATCCACCCTCAACATAAAAGCAATACCATTTAAGGGGGTGAGGGTTAGCAGAACTATGTCAAAGGAACAAAGAAGATGGATTTGAATTGGGCCAGGGAAGCAGAGGCTGGAATTACCTGCCCTTGTTTCCAGCACTCTCTAAATACATTCCAGTTGCTCTTGTTATTGGGATCTTGTAAACACAGCAAGCGATTATCACACAGCCAGTAGTGAGGAGTGTCAAAGCCCAGAATGCTAGGCTTGATGGTCAGTCCTTGAGGCCTCTTAGGTAAATCTGAAGAAGTCTTGTTTTGCACCAAAGAAGCAAAGATGTCATCAAGGATTTTTGGTGTATTCTTGAGTCCATTCTCTGTCTGAATTTGGGAAAGAACACAACTATTACACTATTCCTTGGCACCAAAAAAAAAAAAACAACCAAACCAAAAGAACCCCAAGCTGATAGTAGTCAGATAGGGAGTCCAAGCCAGGGCCAATGAGGCGTTTCCCACCCTCCCTTTGGGTACAGAGAAGTGAGAGTAAGAAACACTATAAAGGATATTGGGTCCCGGCCCATTGCTGTAAGCAAGGGAGACTTGTCCCCACAGAGGTTAACAGGTCCTTCCTCCTACACTTTAACTTATTAAATCTTCTTTTCCTGCTTATCAACATCACAAGTACCTACCTTTCCTGTAGAGGAATTCAAGAGATTGCGGAGGAATCCAGAATTATTGTTGCTAACAGGTGTCAAAATTGTGTTGTTAAAGGTATGTAGGACAGTGCTGGATTTATTCAGAGGCGGAAGGGATGGAAGGCATTTGATTTCATTCTTTAAAATTGGCATTGTTGGTTGTTTTTCTAAAACAAAACCAAAAGCATCCACATTTAATAGCATGCTAGAATATATTCCTTAGTAACCTATTAGCTCAGTGGTGGAGTACTTGCTTTGCATGCATGAGGCCCTGGGTTCGATTCCTCAGCACCACATAAGCAGAAACAGCCGGAAGGGACGCTATAGCTCAAGTGGTAGAGTGCTAGCCTTGAGCTGAAGAGCTGAAGGACAGCGCCCAGGCCCAGAGTTCAGGCCCCATGACCGACCAAAAAAAAAAAAAGAAAAAGAAAAAGCTCTCCTCCAACTTTTAGGCATCCAGCTACACTTACATTTCCAGAACAACACTGATTGGTCATGCATGTAATTTCTTTACAGTCAAATTTGACTCACTACAATTGAGTGTTTGCATGAAGGAAAATGACCTGCAGTTCTTCTCACTTGAAAGTAGAATTACCCAAATTCTAATCTAAGTCTACTCAACACCAAAGTCCATGCCTGAGACAGCAGCAGCGGTAACAAAAGAGAAAGTGCTGGCAGCATATTCAAATTTAGACAAAACAGGATGATGTATAAGCAGACAGCAAGGTTAACCAATAAGTAACTGTTAAGCACAGCACCATCTTCCCAAATAAGGCCTTATCTAATATAACTTCTCTTTGGTCTGTAGGTCATACACACTTTCACTGATGGCAGATCGCAGAAAAACTTCTGGGACGCTAACCACTGCTCAATAGTGGAGGCCACTAGGTCCCTCCATGAGTGAACTCATGTTCTCAGGAACTAACAAGGCAGCAACTGACCCTTGTTTTCCTTGTTGACATTGCCGCTGGTCAGGTCGGCCAGCCAGCTTAAAGGCGAGGTGCTGGCAGGACAGGTGGGTTTTATGCTGGTGGCCGGCTTGGAGGCTGCTTCTTCACCCACCGTCGCTGGCTCCAAAACCAAGGGATTCTGCTGGATCACAGTCCCAAGAGCAGGTTTCTCCCCAGCTAATGACGTCTGTGGTACAAGTAAAAGGAGAATTACACAAAAGCTAAAGCCTGCTATCTTCCCTTTCTTATTTTCTCCTCTAAAAGCCATCTAGTAAGAGGTAAGTAACCAAAACAAAGCTACCAAATAAAGAGCCCTAGATACCACAATTGCAAATATCACAGAGAATAAGGAACTTCCTCCATCTGTTACTTCCAAGCATTATAGTGAAAACACAGGACATATAACACATACAATTCACAAGGTATTTAATTCCTTCATTCCTCTACCACCCAGCCCAAGTTCATACATATCCTTTATTATTCCATATACCATGTGACTTTATTTTTTTTTTTTTATTTTTTTTTTTTTTTGGGTCCGGTCGTGGGGCCTGAACTCTGGGCCTGGGCGCTGTCCCTCAGCTCTTCAGCTCAAGGCTAGTGCTCTACCACTTGAGTCACAGCGCCACTTCCGGCTTTTTTTTCTTTTTGCTTATGTGGTGCTGAGGAATCGAACCCAGGGCCTTGAGCATGCAAGGCAAGCGCTCTACCACTGAGCCACCTTCCCAGCCCTACCATGTGACTTTAAAATGGCAAGTGTTCCCTGAAAAATAGGCCAGAAGAAGCGCTCAAAATACAACTGAATGAATAGATGAGGCATGCAGAAAAGAAAAGCTAGGGTTTCAGGAGAAATGGGACAAAGAAAAGGGAAAATGCACTTTTGCTTAAACTTCAAAATATGATGATGTCTCCTGAAAGCTTTTAAAAGATAAACTGAAACAAACTGGAAAAGGCACACCACTTCTTCTGGTATTCAGTTGATGAGTTTAAAAACAGGAGGAGTGAAAGGAATAGTCAAACTTGTGTGCTAAATGTGGCGTGCTTCTCTGCTGCCCAGGCGTTAGCTCTGGTTGCCATTCCTTTATCACTGATGAGAAACTCTAGAGAAAGAATTTGAGTTCAGTTTTGGTCCCAAAGACCAAAAACTCTTTTATGACCTCATGCTACCTTCAACACCATAGCTTTAAGCAAGAATTTTTGATTATTAAACACAACTGTAGGACAATGATGAGTGGGGTGGGGGCAGAGAGGGAAAAGAGGGGCAGGTGTGATGGTAAGGATCAGTGATGCCATTAGGAAAGAGTAATGGACACAGAAGGGCTTTATTCACCCTTACTTCCTTCAACTCTTCATGTAGATTGTAGGTAAGAAAATGTATTCATTAAAAAAATCTTTCAAGCTTATCTGAAAAATTCTGCAGGACACATGAAAAACATTTAAATATGTGTACAAGTTAGCAACACACTAGGTAGATAAAATGCAGAGAGGTTTGGCTTTCTCAAGAGACAAAAATGTAAAGCCTGAAAGGGGTCACAGATGGGGTGCACAAACGCAATGAAGTGTAAGAACAGGGCTGTGAACTGTCTACCCCACTGACAGCTGTTTTATGTTCCTTTCAAATACTCTGCTAGAAATCCCTGGGTTACTTGAAAAAACAGGTAATAATCACAAGGACGGTGAACAGCACAAGCAACAATACCTGTTTGAGGTCTTCCTTTGAGACTGGCTTTGAAAAGAATTTGAACTGTCTGTTTGAACAGGGACAGTTTGCCTTTATTCCCCATTTTGCTCTGATAGAATGAACAATGTCTCCAACATCATAGAGGGCTAGGAAAAAAAAAGGTTCAGAGGCAAACATTTGAACAAGGGTGTTAAGATACTTTCAACCTCAAGCCAACAGAACAGCTGACATTTCCCACAGGATTGCTTTTCTCAGCAGCATGGTGTCCCATCCCTCTTTTTCATCCTGCCTTTCCTAAGTGTGCCATTTTCTTAACTTCTACAAAACTAGCCACAAGATTTTTAAAAAATGCTGGGGCATTATTTTATGTTCTTCTGGGCAATTCACAGAATACAGGAAAATAAGGTAAGTAATCACAACACTATACCAAGTCAAACCAAACTTATCAGCCCCTGTGAGTTAACCTAGACACAAAAGGAAGGAAATACCTTTGCCAGGAATGATCTGTGTGGGCATCAGATTCTCAGGTTCATGGATCTGACTCTTCACACATCTTAGCCAAGAGAAAGTCTTGTAGGTGGCACCTGCAAATAATAGACTTGCGGTGACTTCTCCATGGACCCTGCTGCCCCAGAGCATCAACCAGGGATGGTGACATGGCTCAAAGTAATACATGCCTAACAAATGCCAGGCTGTAAAGTTCCAACTTCCAACACAAAGAAAACCTAGGAATTGATGTCAGGCTTCCACTTTCAATGTGTCATGGGGTAAGAGCAGAATTAAGAAGGCTCTCACCTTGTTGGCAATTCTTTCTTTTCATCCGGTAGCAATCCACACACACCCCAAATCCACACCGAGGACACACCCAATGCAGGTTGAAGATGGTGGTGTCACAGACATCACACATTTCTCGAACACCTTTGACAGCTCGTTTCCAGGCAACCTGTCCTGCAAGAATTAATAAATCGTTTAGTATTGGGAGAACGCTTAAAAAATGAAGCATGACGTGTGTTGCGGGGGAGGGGATAGTATGCCTACCTATGACTAGAGTCCCCCCCCTTCAACTGTTCAGCTGTCTCTCTGCAATGCTTACTTGGATTTCCTCAGCACACTCATGCCTGCCTGGTGCTACATATACTCAGACAGAGCTATGCCTCCCCAAGAGACTAAGTTGTACTCAAGAAGAAACCCTACTCCAGCTATGAAGCACCACTATCCCACAGAAGCACTTCCTAACCCTTTAACCCGAGTCCCTTAGAAAAACTAGAGGCAGCACACACCAAGAGAGGAAAAAGGTCACTCAGATTAAAAAAAAAAACAACAACAACCATCAGCACAGGAGCTCTGAGCTCATCACAAATGCCCCAATCCACTCAGATAATCATTATAAGCCCCAAAGTGGCAGAGACTGCTGTTCATGGCAAGCTGAGACAAAAATATTCACAAACTCTATCTCAAGTCATAGCTGGGTATGGTGAGGCACACTTGTCATTCTTACTATGGTAAGAAGCATCAAACAGAAAGATTGTGATCTAGGGGGTAGACCTGGGCAAAAATAGACATTAAAAAAATAACCAGAGCAAAAGAGGGCTGGAGGCATGGATTAGCATTAGAAACATCTGTGAAGTTTGAGGCCTTGAGTTCTAAGTCCAACACTGTCAAACAACAAAAAAAAACTAGGATGCTTAGTTTTTTTTATTTCTTTTTATTGTGTCCAGCACAGTAACTTAACATGGGCACAAAGTAACAAAGGTGAGTTCCTTCACCAATCAGGGAGAAACTTGATTTTACCAGATTCACACTAACCAAACATCCAGGAGACTGACACACAACCATCCAGGGCAGCTCTGCAAAAAGTAGTCTTTGCCATTCCAGTAGCCAACACTTGACAAGTGGAAGAATGGGCCTTCCAGGACTGGACACACCACTGGATATCTCACTTTAACAGGGACAGGCATCCAGTCAGCTGACCGCACCAGTTATCAAAGAGTAGGAGCAGAGTAACTGTGGGTACATGTCTACTTGCTTTTTCTATGGACACATCTTTTCTAATCCAGTGAGTGGTTCTTTCTTTCTTTACACTGAGCATGATCCAAATGACCCAACTTGTGCATTAACCTACCCCACCTGATGAATGAACTGTCATTTCACTACATTTCATGCAGTCTATGCACAATACACAAGAGTTTTTGGGCATTTTACAAATAAGGTATTGTGAATTTCATCTTGGTTGTTTAGCTTAGACTGTTTTATCAAATAGTGTGCCTCAGATCTCTTAGCCACATACTTACGGGTCATTTGCTACAGAGAATCCTACAAGTCTAAAGAAGGACTCTGCTTCTCAATACCAGGATCAGAGGAGCAGCTCTCTAGGTATCATTGCATCTTTCTACATCATTCTTCAATACTCAAAATCAGTACAGTTTGTAATATAAAAAAGGATGGGCTGAGAAGGAGGCCCTAGGTTCGATTCCTCAGCACCACATAAGCAAAAAGAAAAAAGCCAGAAGTGGCGCTGTGGCTCAAGTGGTAGAGCGCTAGCCCTGAGCTGAAGAGCTGAGAGACAGCGCTCAGGCCCAGAGTTCAGGTCCCACGACTGGACCCAAAAAAACAAAAACAAAAACAACAACCACCTGTGCTTTTTTTCCTGTATGTAAAAAAATAGTCTTTACAAAGAAAAAAGTATCACATGAAACATCTCTTTGAGTTTTAGGAAGGAAACAACTAATACATCCCAAAGAAGAATCTACATTGAAGTCCTGTATTAATGAACACTAAAGCAGTTACTGAAAAAATTTCTGTCAATCTATTACTTTTACCCAAATATTTTTAATAAGGAAGGCTTGCATCACTACTAAAAATGGAAAACCTGTATCACTTGTCCTGCAAAGATTAGGGATGGGGCCAGGCGCCAGTGGTTCATGCCTGTAATCCTAGCTACTCACTAGGCTGAGATCTGAGGATCACAGTTCAAAGAGCCAGCCCAGGCAGGAAAGTCCGTGAGACACCAGAAAACCAGAAGTGGTGCTATGGTAGAGCGCTCACCTTGTGCTCTAGAGCTGAGGGACAGTGCCTAGGCACAGAGTTCAAGCCCCACCACTTAAAAAAAAAAAAGATTAGGGATGGGAGATGTTTTAAAAGATCGTTAAGTCTTTGGCTTTTGTTTGGTGTTAGGGTACTAGGGATAGAACGCAGGGCCATGCATATGCTAGGCATGTGCTCTATCATGGAGCTACAACTTCAATCCCCAGGATTCCTGAGTCAGGATGGGAGAAATAAAAGATCTCTATATTTAGTATTTCTTGTGCTGAAACTCTTTAAGAATGGTGTAGATGCTTGTACTCAAACATACCTGAATTATGTAGTATATGTAAAAAGACATACTACAGAATGCAAAGGCTCACTATTAACTGTCAATTATGTATTTGGACAAAATAAATGATAAAGAGACCTGTAAGACACAGGCCCTGTGGTGTGTCTGGCTCAGCATCTGGTTTCTAAGAACTCATGAATAGACATCCTACCTTAACACGTCACCCTGGAGGTCTTCTCATGCTGATACCTGTGTCTTACTGGGCTCAAGAGTGCTATTAAAGAATGGAGGACAAAGATACACACCCAGACAGTCCCCTCAAACTCTGCCATGAATAGAATTATTTGCATCTGAGCCAGTTGTCATTCTCATGTACACTGGGACCAAGAAGGTCTAGGACATGGCCTGTCCAGTCTTATTTTCCTTGAAATGATTGGTTAAAGATCTTTCTCTTAAGCCAGTCTGAGGTTTCATCCTTTTGGTGAGCCTTACACTGCTGATAAGGCTGTGCAAATATCACTGCTTCACTTTGGCCTTTCCCAATCAGAGAGAGCTCTATTCCTTCGATAATATTCCCAAATACATCCTTACAGATGAGTGGCCAACTCTGAGGAAAACTGTTGCAAAAGGAAAATTGCTATCTCTCCTCCTTCTATCAAAGTCATCTACATTTCTGGTGAAATTGAAACCCATGCAACTTTGGGACCCAGGGGTGTCAAAAAAAAAAAAAAATCAGGTGGGAGTCAAATATCCTGCCCCTTAAGAGATGCTCTTACTGTGTGGCTCAATAGTTGACATAGCTTCCTTTTCAGAAATCACCATTTGACAGAAGTGGTCTCCAATGTTGGCCAGGATATACTTTGCTGTGTCCAAGTCAGTTCCCACAACATTTTTGGTCAAAGGCAGCCACAAGCCAATTGCTTCACTATCATATTTGTTTGGTGTTAAGAAGCCTTCTACCCGCAACACACCATGCTTGTTGAATTGCAATCTATGGGGAAAACAAAAAAATGGATTTATAATTTCAATCAATAAAGTCATTCCCAGTTGTCTCTACTCTTCATGGATGCTGTAGCCAATTACTTCATAATGTCTCTAGAGTGACTGTTTAAAAAAGCAGGCCCTCTTCCCAAAAGACAAGCTAGAGACTATCTCCAAAGACAATTATTCAATAAAGTGGATGTAGGCTTCAACAGCAAGAACAGTCCCTAAGTCACTACAAGAAAGCTGACAAATGAGGTGATGAATAATCTAATCAGATCTAAACACAACAACGGCTTCAAAAATAATGCTCCACAAGAAGAGACCTCTGGACAGTCACCAAAGCAATGATATTGATCCAGGAGGTATTCAGAGCCCACAGGGATCCTAGTGTAATGTAAGCTCCTAGGATGAGAAGCAGCATTGATATAGGATGCATTTCCTAAGTGAAACAAAATGCAATTCTCAGTATTTGCTTGATTGCTTTTTCTCTTTTTTGTGTGCGCTGGTACTGAGGCTTAAACTGTTCTTTAGTTTCTTGTTCAAGGCTGCTGCTCTACCACTTAAGCCACGGCTCCACTTCCAGCTTTTTAGTGGATAATTCGAGATAAGACTCTTATGGACTTTTCTGCCTTGGCTGGCTCTGAACCATGATTTTCCTATCTCAGCCTTCTTGACTTGCTAGGATTCCAGGCATGAACTACCTGGTGCCTGGCTTCTCAGTATTTGCTTTCAATAGACAAATTAAACAGAAGATATTTTTATTCGTGTAGGTAAGACCAGCAAGAAGTTGGAGAACTTGTAAGTTAGGTCAGCTTCTGAAAGCCTTCATCTCTTCATTAAGCAATGGCTTAAATATGAAAACTCCATGAGTTTATGAGATACACAAAATAAGTTTTAGACAATCATTTTCCAAAAGTTTAGGATGCACTGATAGGAAAAAACATGAAGCATTATTAAAACAACAAATTTATTTCAAGCAGTCCAAAAGGGAAGCAAGCTTTTAATTCAGAGTCCAAGATGAGACATAGTCATAATATTGAAAAACAAGTTTCAAAGCCATTTCAATGGGGGAGCTAATGGTAACACATTCCTATTTTATCTTAACCATGTTTAGAGGGCAAGGAATTTGATGAAGAAGCTAATGACAACCATACTACACCCTCTAAACATCAGGGGGAAAAGTTAAACTATGCTATTCTTTTTACTAAAGAAACAAGTTCATAGGATGAACACTAAGCAACAGCACTTTTCCTTTAAAGTCATCAAAACTTTGAAGAACAAAAGCCATAAAATGAATGATTTCTAAACAGCACAAAATAAAGCAAACCCTCATATTACAAAGAAAAAACCCTAATCTCTCTCTATCCCAGCTCCACATTTCACAGCACAGGAGCCACAACGCCGTATGGTTAAGTCTGTAACGGGCTCACACAGACTTGTATAAGCATATACCATTTTGTGGTTTAAGTTCAAATTCCTATTCATCTTAACACACATTTGGGTAAGAAAAAAAAATTATCCTGAGAGGAAGTTAGAATAGAGCTAACCTTTATGTGAAACTATTCTGGGCCAGGTGTTATTCAGAATATATTTTAACATGTGAATATGTGAACAGATGTTGAAAGTATCACAGCTCTAAATGCTACCCACACTTTAAACAGTGTGGGTTAGCAATTCACTCAGGAATGAATGGGCCAAACTAGTATCTAAAGACTCTCTCCCTCACCAAATAAGCCTGAATAAAAAAATTACTAACAGACTTGTCAAGTGAGTGTAGTATACAAACGATTTCAAATCTCATTCTCCTAATACCGGAGAGGAATCTTTAATCTAAATTACCTGTGCAGTGCCACCATTTTTTTCATTTAAGATTTTAAGTTAGATTCTAAAGAACATGAAAAAAATTAAAGGAACACACTTGTTTATAACCATTTGGGCCTGAAAATACCTCCAATTCTGAGAAAGCCCATTCTATCTAAAATTAACCACACCCAAACAGGACTATTATGTTTCAACAAAAATGAAAGAATATACTTTTCTTCACTTAAGATAGAGGAATTTAAAGAAAATGAATTTGCCAATTAAAAGAATATAATATGGAGCCGGGTGCCAGTGGCTCAAGCCTGTAATCCTAGCTACTCAGGAGGCTGAGATCTGAAGGTCATGGTTCAAAGCCAGCCTGGACAGGAAAGCTCATGACACTCTTATCTCCAATAAACCATTAGAAAACCAGAAGTGGTGCTGTGGCTCAAGTGGTAGAGCACTCGCCTTGAGCTGAAGAACACAGAGACAGCACCCAAGCCCAGAGTTCAAGCCCCATGACTGACAAACATAATATGAACATGAAAGTTTATTTAAAAATGTAAGCAAATCTTTTAAGTTATCTCTCAGCTAGCAGAGACATGTGCTTGACCCAGCCAGCAGGCATGAAATTCTGGTGTAATACTCCTGGAGGACAATTTGGTCTTGACACACACACTTTCTAACCTACTAATGCCACTTCTAGGAATCCTTCCAAAGTAAAACAGAGATGTAGACTGGAAGATAATACATTTTATACTATTTTCTAGTAGTAAAAACGAAAAAAAAAAAAAAAAGTAGGATGATCTATATACCTGTGAGGGAGCTAGCTGGTCAAAGTAATTTGTAATGGGTTCTTTATACATAATCAAAAGATTCTTAGTAAGGGTAAGATTTAGTGTCTGTAATAGCAACTAGGTATGACTGAACACACTTTAGGACCATGCAAACACTAAAACTGCTCTGAGAAGTTAACAGTAGTTATTTGTGGTGGTTTTCCAGATTCTTCAGCATTTTCCAATGATGTTACTTTTAGAAATACAAGTTTAGATATTTAATCTTCATTAAAAAAAAGTCAAAAAGAAAATATCCAGTAATATCTAGACTTCTAAATACATTTGAAAGTAACAATTTCTACATTCTACACTTGTTGTTGATAGGAGAGAAAAAGATATATGAAATACAGCCAAGACCGATTAAATGCGTTTTCCCAAATGCCTCACCTCCTGAAATGAAAGAAGCGACAGAACACAGGCGAGTCCTTCTGCTGCTCCTTATCCTTGCGCAGACTGTCCAAGCGACACTCCCGACACTTAGGCAGCTGGGCCACAATGTTCACGCAGGAGTCATCCTGAACAAAGGCCTCTCCGCTCTGCTGCAGTTTCTTGAGTTTATCAGGGTCTGTCAAAACTGACTTCCTGGCTGGGGCTAAGACAAACGTTAAAGATCAGAGTTCCTCAGTTTCTGAATATCACATCAATAGTTGACTGAATTCTATCCAAAAAGCATATGTTCCCAAAGGGGGAAAAAAGAATCCCTTTCCATTCCTAGCTCAGTTGTAATTTCTAAAAACTAGCTTAAAACAATTATCAGAGAAACTGGGAATATCTGCTACCCTTAAAAATTCTCATTTGGTGAATCCATTTGGCAAGCTACAACCCTAAATTCAACAGCCACTCACAATTCCAGGTTAGTGTATATATTGCTATTCCCAACTCTTGATGTAAGTAAGACATGTTAAGAAGACTTTTCCAAATTCGCCTCTACAGAGATCTGACTTTGTGGATATTGGTTTTTCCCATATTCATACTCAAAAACAGTTTACGATGTGTTCTATATAAAGTACTCTAAATAAAAACTTACCATTCTAAATGTAAAACCCTAAAAGGTTTCCTGTATAACCTCTTGGTCTATGAACTAAGAGTTATCATCTACATGCCTCCAGAAGATATAGACATGCTTCCATTTCCTCTACAGAAATATTCCATTCAGGACTGGCTAAAGACAAGACTCTGAGTAAACTTCGGTTTTTAATTTTAACTTGCAATTTTGGTATGGGAACTAAAAAGGAAATGTTACCAGGGCTTCTAAAGAAAAAGAGTAAAGGTGCTGAGAAGGTGGCTCAGTGGTAGAGTGCTTGCCTTGCATGCATGAGGTCCTGGGTTCGATTCTTCAGCACCACATAAGCAAAAAGAAAAAAGCCGAGGTGGTGCTGTGGCTCAAGTGGTAGAGCACTAGCCTTGAGCTGAAGAGCTGAGGGACAGTGCCCAGGCCCTGAGTTCAGGCCCCACGACCGGACCCCCCCCCCCCCAAAAAAAGAAAAAGAGTAAAGGTAGAGATATCACAGCAAAAAGTAATTGCTGTGTTAACTCAATACAGAATGGAATCCAGCCATAGCCAAGACCCTAAAATAAATAGTTCACAGAAAATAGAAGACACCTTTCCTCTGAGTTCTAATGGAGCTGAGAGAAGTAGATTAGGCAAAAAGACAAGACAAGACAAGACCAGACCAGAATGAACAACAACAACAAAAAACCCAGTCAGGTGCCAATCTTACACCTGTAATCCTAGCTACTCAGGAGGCTGAAATCTGAGGCTCCAGGTTCCAAGCCTGCTTGGGAAGAAAAGTCTGTGAAACTCTTATCTCCAATTATCCACCAAAAAACTGCAAGTGGCTCAAGATGGAAGAGCACTAGCTTTGAGCAGAAATGCTCAGGGCAGCACCCAGGTCCAGAGTTCAAGTCCCATGACCCCCCCCACCCCCCAAAAAAGAAATACCACCAGCACAACCCTTGGCCTCCCCACCCCCTCCCCCCAAAAAAAACCCAAAACAACTTCTGGGGAAACCAGCTAAGTCATATGAGAAAGTCCAGTTTTAGAGAAAATTTGAAGCAAGATCCCACAAGTAAGTTTTATATGAAATGAGTATCAGTAATTACCTTAGAGGTGGCCTAATCTTTCCTTTCCTTTCTTTTTTTTGTCAGTCATTGGGCTTCAACTCTGGGCTTGGGCGCTGTTCCTGCGCTCTTCAACTCAAGGGGAGCGCTCTACCGCTTGAGCCACAGCGCCACTTCTGGTTTTCTAGTGGTTTATTGGAGATAGTCTCACTGACTTTCTTGCCCGGGCTGGCTTTGAACTGCGATCCTCAGATCTCAGCCTCCTGAGTAGCTAGGATTATAGGCTTTCCACTCTGTCTTAAAGCAGGACTTCGTCTCGTGGTAAAATGCTAAACTATGCTGTCAGTCCTTGATTTCTTATTAAATCATTTTTATTCAGTTAAGAGTGAAAGAAAGGATAAAGAAATCAGAACAAATATCTTAGTTCAGAGAGGAATTTTAACTACTAATATTAAAAGACATTATTTTCTGGGTTGTAGGCATGACTTAGGTGGTAGAACAATAGCCAATGAGTAAAAGTCTCAGATACCAAGTTCAAGTCCTGATCATGTACAAAAAAAAAACCCAGACATCATTTTCAATAGGTAGGCCAGATTTCCACAGATTACAGTTAAGAGTCTAAACAGTATGTATGTATTCCAATCCCTTTTAAAAAGGAAATATCTAGTGATACACGTTGAACTGCCTAAATGTAGTGTTTTTAGTAACACACAAGTTGAACTGCCTAAATGTACTAATTTTGGTGAGGAGAAAAACATTGATTCTATCAGTAATTCTCTCGATTCAGAGTAGAGCCCCCTTTGAGAAGCTATTCATCTAATATGGAACAGAAAAAAGAAGACAGCTGTTTGACACTAACTGGCTTTTGCTTCCTAGCCCCAGGTAGAGCAAGAGAACAGAACCCTCTTGAATTAAGTCTTTCTGTACCAGCATAGACTCTGATGGGTTTCCAATTGTACTTTCATTCCTCAGCCAGTCATTACAGATGGCAGGATATGCTAGTCCCACAGGTATGACTAAGTTTTTCCTTTAAAATGATGGAATCATGTAAAGCTAGGGAATGACTGTACATACACATACTAAGACAAAGTTGGACTCTCGAACTCATTTGTATACCAGTCAGGTTTTTATCTTTTTGACTGTTACTGCATATAAACTGATTTATGAGAAAATTAAAATGATTGAGAAATCTCATTTGTGAGAACAATCATTCCAGCTTAGTGTGAAGGCTGATGACTTAAAAGAATATAAAGAAATAGAACTAATACTCAGCAATGAATACTGATTTTCTTTGGGAGAAACTCCTAAGGAACAATATGATTAATCATCTGATTCAGTTTATTTTATGCAAACTTAATAGTTACGTAAGGTAACAAGCCTCAAGAATGAAGATTCTGGGCTACAAGAACCTCTAGGCAAAGAAAGCTTTTCTTTCCATTCTTCCAACTAGTATAGTAGTAAAGCATAGACTAAAAAACACTCTAGTCAAATCCAATTTGTCCTTAAGTTTCAGCTAGTTTGGATAAGCTCCTTTAGTAATCCAACAGAATGAGGTTTTGATTTTTGGTGGAGATTCCATTCCATTGTTTCCCACTTTAAAAAAACTTCAAGGGCTGGGAAGGTGGCTCAGTGGTAGAGTGCTTGCCTTGCATGCCGGAGGCCCTGGGTTCGATTCCTCAGCACCACATAAGCAAAAAAGAAAAAAGCCGGACGTGGCGCTGTGGCTCAAGTGGTAGAGCGCTAGCCTTGAGCTGAAAAACTGAGGGACAGCACCCAGGCCCAGAGTTCAGACCCCACGACCGGACTCCCCCCTCAAAAAAAAAAAAAAATTTCAAGCCAGGTCCCAGTGGCTCATACCTGTAATCCTAGCTACTCAAGAGATAGAGATCTGAGGATCATGGTTCAAAAGCCAGCCCGGGCAGGAAAGTCTGTGAGACTCTTATTTCCAAGAAACCACTAGAAAACCGGAAGTGGCGCTGTGGCTCAAGCGGTAGAATGCTCGCCTTGAGCTGAAGAGCACAGGGACAGCGCCCAAGCCCAGAGTTCAAGCCCCACAACCAACAAAAATAAAAATAAAAATAAAAAAAAAACTTCAAATCCAACCTGACTTTGCCACACAGCTGACAATTCAGTTATCAAACAGTATCTTTAAACTGTAGCAGTTCTAAACCTGTATGACAAGCCAGGGCCATTCATCCTTCTTATTCTAGTAAGAGCTTCTAATAACTACAATCAGTGTAATGCATCCTTTAAATAAAAAGTATAGGTTGATTAACCCTTAGCCAAAATGCTTAGCATAAGAAATGTTGCAAATTTCTGACTTTGTAATAGATTGGGGTTATTATATATAAGGCATTATTTATTACATATACTGAGACCCAAATCTAAATACAAAATTCAACTATTATCATATGCATTTTAAAGACATAGCCTTTAAGGTGATTTCACACAATTTTTTTAGCATTACATTATGACTGCAAGCTACCAGGTAAGGTCAGGTGCAGAAGTTCATACTAGTTGTGAGTGTGTGGGACCCTGGAAAGAAACTATAGAGGATTTTACACTTTTGAATTAAGGTTGCTCAACAGGTAGTATGAAATATAATGTAGCAACTTCTTTAGAAGAAAATGGTTAGGAGGTTTTAATAGTTGAGTATAGCAAGATATCCCCTTTAAGGAAGACTTGGCTTGGTACTGCAGCTATCTCCTCAACATCACTAACCAAAGGTCCCCTTTTTCAGTGTTAAAGATGCAGATTCTTTTTACTGAGGTATGAACTCCAGTTCAAAGTTCTCCTTGCCAGGCAGGGAGGCATTCAGTTGACCACCTTGCACAGCTGGTACTCTACCACCATTTGAGCCACACCCCTTGCCCCCCTCTTCTCATTTTTCTTAGAAGATTTAAAATCTGAGCTGGGCGCCAGTGGCTCACACCTATAACCCTAGCTACTCAAGAGGCTGAGATCTGAGGATCACAATTCAAAGCCATCCCCGGCAGGAAAGTCCAGGAGACTCATCTCCAATTAATCATGGAAAAAGCAGAAGTAGCACCTTGGTTCAAGTGGTGGAGCACTAGCCTTGAGCAAAAAGGATTTTAGAGATAGCGCCCACACCCAGAGTTTGAGCCCGAAGACCATCAAACAAACCCCTTTACTCTGAGCTACTTGTGTAAACATGAGGTGCCATCTCCTCCAACATGGATGTTACAAAGAGACAGTGACAACTATAATGCAATCACCAGATCATTTTTGATTGTTTCAAAACATTTTCTTATAATGAACAATTAGAAACCTGGTTACCCACCTCACAAGAACCAAATCAAAAAGCGAATGCATATGCTGGAATCCTGTCAAACTTTAAAATGTTAGTAGGCACTGTACAAATTCATAAGACATTAATTATTTGTATAATACAACTTCTTTGAATTTCCTTCTACAGTCATTTTCATATGTTTAATTACAAGATAAGAAATGTTAGCCAGGCATTACTGGCTCATGCCTATAATCCTAACGACTCAGGAGGCTGCAATTGTGAAGGATCATGGCTCAAAGCAAGCCCAGGCAGAAAGCATAGCTCAAGTGGTAGAGCAGCAGCAGCAAGAAGGGCAAGGTGATGCAAAGTCCTGAGTTCCAATTCCAATGTCACACACACAGAAAAACCTGTCGTGTGTATATCCTACCAATAAAGGTATTTAGAAACACTTACCATTCTGAAATTTATTGTTACTTCTTGTACAACAGCTTTCATTTTCTACTTTTACTGATGTTTCCTTTAAGTTTTGTGACCGGCAACCTAAAGTTGAAGGTACTATCTTTTTTTCTGCACAGCAATTAGGGCCATCACTCTTAACACCTGCTTTCAATTCTGGCTTATTTGAAAGGCCATCTGATGTGGAAGGTGCATGTTGTAGGTGCTTCTGAAGTTCGGGAGTACTGGCAATTTCCAACTCAGCTTTAGAAGAAGCCTTTGGAGGTAAGCATTCCTTAGGAAGGCCAGTCAATGGACGTGGAAGAGATTCCAATCTGTTCTCCCAATCAGAGTTTGTCTTAGGCTGAATAAAGCTACCTTTGGGCTCACTCAGAATTTTCGGCTCTGCAGTTTCAACCTGAGAAGACTTTGAAGAGAGCAATCCTGATTTGCAGATGACATCTGGTTTTGTTCTCAGTATCTCGGGCTTTGTATTGAGACACGAAGAAAGTTCTCCTGGTAAACTCTGCTTATGACATCTGAAAAACGTAAGGGAAAAACAGTATCTAAGTCTCATTTCTCTCTTATCATCCAAAAGTAATTTGTTTCTCTCTCCTTAAAGATAAAGCTTTAAGCCAGGCGCTGGGCTCATGCCTGTAATCCTAGCTACTCAGGGGCCAAGATCTGAGGATTGTGGTTCAAAGCCAGCCCAGGCAGGAAAAGTCCATGACACTCTTTCTCCCCAATTAACCACCAGAAAACCAGAAGTGGAGCCATGACTCCAAGTGGTAGAGTGCTAACCTTGAGCAAAAGAGCTCACAGACAGTACCTAGGCCCTGAGTACAAGCCCCATGACCAAAAAAAAAAAAAAAAAAGCCAAGTGCCCGTGGCTCACGCCTGTAATCCTAGCTACTCAGGAGGCTGAGATCTGAGGATCCCAGTTCAAAGCCAGCCTGGGCAAGAAAGTCCGTGAAACTCTTATTTCCAATAAACCACCAGAAAACTGGAAGTGGCACTGTAGCTAAAGTGGTAAAGTGCTAGCCTTGAGCTGAAGAGCTGAGGGACAGCGATCAGGCCCAGAGTTCAAGCCCCACGACTGACAAAAAAAAAAAAAAGAAAGAAAGAAAAGAAAAGAAAAAAGTTTTGGCAAGAACTTCTTTTAATGAGGAAGAAAGGGAAGGGGAAACAGAGACAGACAGACAAAGAGGAAGAGAGCCAGAGACAGACAGAGACAAAGGTACTTTCTTCTCAAGTAGTAATAGCAGTTAGACTCCTTAGACTCAACCAGCATGAAAGAGAAAACTGCTTATGATAAAAAAAAAATGTAGGGTAAGCCGGGCTCTGGTGGCTCATGCCTGCAATCCTAGCTACTCAGGAGGCTGAGATCCGAGGATCACCGTTCAAAGCCAGCCTGAGCAGGAAAGTCCGTGAGACTCTTATCTCCAATAAACCACTAGAAAACCGCAAGTGGTGCTATGGCTCAAGTGTTAGAGCAAGTGGTGCTATGGCTCAAGTGGTAGAGCACTTGAGTTGAGCTGAAGAACAGAGATAGTGCCCAAGCCCAGAGTTCAAGGCCCACTATCAACAACAAAAAAAAAAGTAGGGTAATCTCTGCAAATTGGAGTCAACACTCAGTTCAGCCAATAGCTCCGTACAAGTATGTGAACACTCAAAAAAGGGCATCCTTAACTCTAATTCAGGTTCTCATAAAGCCTCAACTGCTTTGCCTGTTCTTACAGCATAAGGAACCTTGGCTTTCCCACAAAAATAAATGTTATATGAAACAAAAAAAATATACACTCAGCAATCAAAGTCAAAATTAAAAGTCAAGGCTAATCATCCTAAGTTTCTTTTTTTTTTGCTGAATTTACTTTTCTTATATAACAAAAATTAGATTTTAAAAAACGTAACTAGCATTCTTGTTCTTACCAAGCCTTGTTCAATCTCATGTTAGGAAAACATGTCAAGATCTATGTGTATTAAAATTTTGAGCTGATTACTGATGGCTCATGCCTGTAATCCTAGCTACTCACAAGGCTGGTATCAAAGGATTATGGGTTGAAGCCAGCTCAGATAGGAAATACAGTGAGACTCTTATCTTCAATAAACTACTCAGAAAAAGCCAGAAGTGGCTCTGTGGCTCAAGTGGTAGAGGGTTAGCCTTGAGCAAAAAGGAGCTCAATGACAGTGCCCCAACCCAGAGTCCAGCTCCATGACTGGCAGAAAAAAAAAAAAATCAAAACAAACCCTACAAATCAGCAGCAGCAAAAACCTTGTCCTTGGGGCTGGGAAGGTGGCTCAGTGGTAGAGCGCTTGCCTTGCATGCATGAGGCCCTGGGTTCGATTCCTCAGCACCACATAAGCAAAAAGAAAAAAAGCTGGAAGTGGCGCTGTGGCTCAAGTGGTAGAGCACTAGCCTTGAGCTGAAGAGCTAAGGGACAGCGTCCAGGCCCAGAGTTCAGGCCCCACGACCGGACCCAAAAAAACAAAAACAAAACCTTGTCCTTTTATGAATAACATGCAACCAGGAGTTGGCAGGGCTCAAAGCAAGTAGAAGAACTTGTACACAGAGTATTTCCTCTCACATCTTATTAGTGATATATACAGAAAAACTTTTTTTTCCCTCTATAATTCATCCTAAAGCTTTTAATTCCATGACATTTCTTTTTACCTATTCTAAGCCAGAATTTTATCCACAGAATTTCTTAAACATTCAGATTAACAATCTCTGCTTGGATATTAATAAACAGTCCTACTGTTCTCTCTTCTATTATGACTGATCCTCCACATCTGGACACTGTGTCCACTGTCACTATCCTCCACACTCCCTCACAGACTGCCCACGTTTTTCCTAGGGAACCACCGTGCTCAGCTCTCCAAACCCACATCTGATTCACCCCTCCATTAAGAGGTTCTTCCCTTTCTCAAACTTCGAAACTTCAAATCTTTGGTTAAACTTCCCATTTCTTGTTTTCACACCACCTGCAATAAGAGTACTTATTGCTTCTTTTATTCCTACAATCTCCTCGATTGCCACACTTCCTACCTGTACTTGGAGAGTCATCTCATCTATCAACTCTCTCTGTTGCCACTCTCCCTCATCCCCCAATCTCACACCTATCTCAATCTCCCTTTTCCTGAAACACTGACAACTAGGCTCCAAATTTTAAGAGTACTCAACAGTTCAGTCACTCCTCAGAGCAACAGCCAGTCAAAAAAGCATGTGCCCTTCACTTCTATCCTGTTTTCTACGTTGTTCTTTCCATGTCTTCCATGATTTTATCTCTAAAGGCACCTGATCTGTCTCTCCTCTTAGGAACGCCTGCAAAAACAACCACTACCACCACCTCTCTGGCCAATCTAAAATAGAGACAATGAGCCAAGAGTAAAATGCATTTCATTATGATGATTTACTACGCTGATTGTGATGATTATGTATTAAGAAGCAAGACTCACCCTTGAGGAATTTTTGCTCCTAGGTTAGGAGGTGAGTTGGCAGCCTGGGGAGTGCTGTGCTGCCTTGGGTCCTTACTAGGTGGAGTTGCTGCAGTGCAGCCAAGCAGGATCTCCTTAAACACTGGTGTAGGCACAGACTGTACAGGACACACATTAGGAGAGGCCTAAAAGATAGCAAACCAACAGACATTAAATGCAAAGTCCCTTGTTGGGAAATTATGAAGTGCTAATGAAATTCAAGATCATGTCCTTGATTTACTACTACACAAGCACCATATAAAGACTAGCAAGCGATAAACTTTATAAAATTAAGGACTCATATACTGAAGTTTAGAAATAATCCACTCTACTTTTTCACAAAATGTAAAATGTTTCTAATCAAAGATCACAAGTTGATCTTTTTACAGACCCATCATTATGCCGGGAAGAACATAAGACGTGGGACAATTACTCTAATAACGCAATGCACAGACGTGAACTTGTTAGGGACAGTTTCAGTGGTGGCAGCTTCACATGCATTCATTCTGACATAGCTTGATTACCCAGCACGCACTTACTGCGTAGACTGGCAGGCGACCAGACCAGATAGGACTCTTGTAGGCAGTGATACCTACTGTGTGCCACAGTAAGCGTTTGCAATGCAATAAAGATTAAGGACATGGCTCTTGCTCTTGCATGCCTCACCAAGTCATAAGGGTCATCCCACACTGTAAAAATATTAAGTCATGACAGGACTATGGGACAAAGATGAACATCTTCTCTTCCCTTTTCAAAAAAATTAAGTATCAGATCCACTTCTTTACCAGTTCATACTCTCCACAAAAGTAAAACTTTCCACCATGAAGAAAGAGTAGATCTCTTCTACATGGCTGAGCATGTGGAATCAATCTACTCATCTTTATCGGACTCTTCACTAATGCTTAGATAATACGCCTTGCTTAGGCATTTCACCTCACAACTGACCTTTGCACATCTAAACTGAAAAGAATCATCAGTTTTCCCATCTTTTAGCAATTAACTTCAAAATGTTACATAGAAATTTTCATAGAAAATTTACGTAGAAAGTTACATAGGAAGTTTATAAAACCTGACAATTTGGAATATAGTTTTACATGTTGGTCCTTTTTTTTTCTTTTCTTTTTTTTTTTTGTCCTTCGTGGGGCTTGAACTCTGGGCCGGAGGGCTGTCCCTCAGCTCTTCAGCTCAAGGCTAGCACTCTTACCACTTGAGCTACAGCACCACTTCTGGTTTCCTGGTGGCTTATTGCAGATAGGAGTTTCACACTTCCCTGCCCGGCTGACTTTGAACCACGATCCTCAGATCTCAGCCTCCTGAGTAGCTAGGATTCAGGAGTAAGCCACCGGCACCCAGCTCCTTTTTGCTTTTCAATTAGAATCTCATACTCTGTCAAGGCTGGCCTTCCACTGTGGTCCTCTTGTCTCTTCCACCTCATAGGTAGTTCAGACCATAGGTACGCTCAACTTTTGAGATAGGGGCTTGATATCCAGGCTGGCAGTCCTCCTATCTCCATCTCTTAACTGGGAATACAGTTAGGCTCTACAATGTCCAGTAATAAAACTATTTTTATACTGATCTGATTAAACATTGTACTTTTCTTTGTCAATCTAATTTTGGTTAAATAATACTTTAGTGTTCTCTTTAGAAGGCCTATTTTTTTATATACTTTTGTTTAGTTGTTTACACAGGAGGTGGGGGGGTTTGCTATACCCGGGATTCATCAACTTTACCTCTGAGTTGGCTTCCGAATCCTTTAAAAAAACTAAGTTTACCTCTAAAAAAATCCCTTTAATAATACTAGTTTACATTCCTCAGGTGACAATCGTCTGAGGTTAGTGTACCCACGTTTAACTGCCAAATCATTACAAAAATGCTTAAAAAATTAAGGTTTCCTTTTAGCAAGCAACTTTCTTCCCACACCTTCTGTACTTTGAATGTTTATAGAGTTGATGCACAAATATTTTTCCTTACATTATTCTCTGGAAGAAACATATCTACACAATTTATATCACAGCTGAGCGCTTTTCAGGCAGCTGAGATCTGAGGATCACGGTTCAAAGCCAGCCCGGGCAGGAAAGTCCATGAGACTCTTATCGCCAATAAACCCACTAGAGAATCAAAGTGATGCCGGGCACTGGTGGCTCAAGTCTGTAATCCTAGCTACTCAGGAGGCTGAGATCTGAGGGTCTCGGTTCAAAGCCAGCCCAGGCAGGAAAGACCATGAGACTCCTATCTCCAATAAACCACCAGAAAACCGGAAGTGGTGCTGTAGCTCAAGTGGTAGAGCGCTAGCTTTGATCTGAAGAGGTGAGGGATAGAGCCCAGGCCCAGAGTTCAAGCCCCATGACCAACAAAAAAAAAATTAAATCACAACTTATGTATAAATGTTTACTTTCTACAATGTCCATGAAGCTGCTCAAACAAATCTCTGCATCTCATATTTCACATACAAAATACATCAATAAATTCTGCTTCCATTTTCAAAGTATACATTCTTTGAAGTGTTCATATCTCTCCATACCACCCCAACCACCATCTTTCTCCTAGATGACAGATCTAACTAGTCCTCTGCTTCATATCCAAAATATATTCTACGACAGAGCAACCTTTATAAAACATTAATCAATTTAGACCACAGCATTCCACTGCCTACTAGAATCCTATGTGGCCCCCATTCTGCCATATCTCTCCTCTAATCCTCCTCCTCTCCCCTGGACTTATAGTATACCAACTACCTTGGCTTCAAATCACAGTACACACCAACTACACTGATTGGCCTCCTCTCCTGAAACAAGGCTGAACTTTCTAGAATGGCCTTTGTACCTTGCTGTTCCCTCTTCCTGAACAGTTTTCACAGCTGGTTCAACCCACTTACTCTCAAGTTTGCTAACTTGGTTCCAAAGCCACTTCCTTACCCTCATTTTCCTTGATTTACATGTTTCACAGCACTTGCCACACTATGAAACTATCTTTTTATACTTTCTGTCTCCTTACAATGCAATGCAGACGTCCTGATCCTGAGTCCACTACCTGAATTCATCATTCAGATATATGGCAGATGTTCAATAAACAAAACTAGTGAAGCCAGGATTGGTAGCTTACAGCTGTAATTCTAGCTACTCAAGAGGCTGAGATCTGAGGTTCATGATTTGAAGCCATCCCAGGCAGAAAAGTCCCTGAGACTCTTATCTTCAACTAACCACCAAAAAGCCAGAAGTAGAGCTATGCCTCAAGTGGTAGAACACTAGCCTTGAGCAAAAAAGCTCAAGGATAGCACCCAGGCCTTAAGTTCAAGCCCCAAGACTCGTGCACGCGCACACAGGCACACATACACACACACACACACACACACGCACGCACACACACACAAATCTAATGAAAGAGTGCATGGATGCAGTCTGTACTTCATATTGTTGGGTAGCTATAAATAAGTCATTTATTAATCCAGTCACCTGAAGACACAAGCAGTAGTAAATCAGCACTGTAGATCACTGTCTCCCACATATAAAACATTCAGTAAATATTCATTAGAAGGAGAAATGGAGGAAGGAAAGTTTTGGGGGAGTAGTGACACCACAGGGGGCAAGAACAACAAATCCTTATGTTCCCTTGGTTTGAGTTCAGTCTCTTGACACTTGGTAACCTATTACTGACTTCTCTAAAGAATAATTAAGCATACGTCACAGGGCTGTGTTCTATAACAGTGCTTGACGCATATTAAAATTTTAAGGAACTAGCTATTCTCTCATTCTCATGTTTTTTCTTTTTTCATGGTATGGGGTTTAAACTAGGGCTCTGCAGTTGCTAGGCAGCGCTCTACCACTTGAGCCACATCATCAGCCCTAAAAATCAGCTATTTTTAAAAGAAAAATAGCACAAAAGCTGTTATGTCATCACGTGATACCTAGTCTAACTTAAGAGTGCTTTTGTTTAAGTGTCCTATAACATTCCTAAGATGTAGTTCAACAGGAACAGGACTCCTGATTCCCAAACCCATCTTGAAGGGTGTATACTTCTGTACTGTCCTGTGACCAGACAAGGGCAAAATTTCTTCTTACCTGTAGAGTTTCCCTGAAGGTCTTCTATACCAGTCATGGCAATAGTTCCTCCCTGCCAGCAGATGGAGATAATATAATTGAGTGTATGACAGTTTTCTAAAAAGGTCACTGCTGGCTCACACTCCTCAGCAGACTCTTCCCAATTAAGCAAGCAATGTCATAACTCTGAGAAATAGTCTGCTAGGCAGAGAAGACCTTCAAGGAGCCAGATTCACTGGCAAACAAGATTGGCTGTTAACCTCAAGAATCTTGCCTCCCTATTCCCAAACTCCTACAAGTCCACTTTAAAGCTAAACCTTGTGCCAGCCCAACACGTCTGGGTCCACACACACAGAGAATGGCGCCAAATGTGTTACTATACTCACCTTTCACTCATATATACACTAACTGTTTTTCTTCCCCCACAGCACCTATCCCTGGCACCTCCCTGGTACCTTCCTTTACCTCTTCAGTCCTCTTGAAATCTACGCCAGGCCAGTGTTGCCACAACTTGCCTGACTACAAGAATCACCCAGACTGAAAAAGAATGCTAATCAGGAAAACATTCACAAGGGATCGAGGCTAAAACAAACAAAAAAAGAACCAAGCCTCCATAATATAAAAGAGAGGAGAAAAATATTGCAAGATATGAACAGAGTCTCTGAGATGTACAATTTCTTTTCTTTTTGCATTTTCCCAGATTAACCAAAAATTAGGAAATAATACAAAGTGAGACTTGTAAAACTTTTAATAGCCAGGTAAAAATCCATCACTTCCAATTTCTTTTAAAATAGAACATGAAATTCCAGTTCTCAATTTCAATGCAGAGTTATGGAATTAATATCCAGGCCCAAGTTTAGGCTTATTCTTCTAATGGCAAACAATCTGTCAATTCAATAGCACACAAACTTAACATGCTGAGACAGATTTGAAAAAAACCATGCTCCCTCAACTCAAGAGTCAGACAGAGATCACTTATGTATGTATCAGATTTCACAAGCACCTCCTTAAAGGGTATAGAAATGTACCTGGCTCCGTAACGTTTCCCATCATTGATCACTTCAACACTGAAGAATTGGCACCTTCCCCCAAGACCTTAGTTCTGTCAGTATCTCAGGTTGGTTCCTCTGCTATGCAAACAAGTATGCCATTCCTATTTCCTGACCCCTTCAAGCCCAACCCAATGTCATACAATCTCCTTTTCATCACACCAAGTATATACATTGATGCATCTTCCACAACAGGGAAACACTTGACCAAACTGGCCTTTACTGGCCTCTACCCTCTAGATGGGTAACAGTTTATCTACTATCAAAATTTACCTACTTTCTCAGTTTCTAACAACAATGGATTACCCAGAAGCTTCTTCTGTGGGCCTGAGTATGAAATCACTTGTTCAACATTCTTTTACAGTCTTTAATGCTACTTCCCTGGAGCTTCATTCTCAGTTTCCTTCTAAAACAGCTATCCCTACTCCTACAAACTCAGTACTTTTCTATACTAGAAGACTACTCAACACAGTAAATGATCGCCTGACCATATGACTCTGAGCTTTCAAAACAAATTATTGTGTTCTATGAGCAGATGTTGCATTTGGTCTATTCTTCTATCAAGCCAAATTAAGTGTTTCCTTCTGTAACTAGCTCTCCATCCTTTCAGCTCACTGCCTCACTTCAGACTCTTTTATGATGGATAATCCCACTAACCTGTGTTCTTGCTTAACACCTCCTTCCATCATCCATTATCTGTAAAGCTAAAATCTCCTGAACTTAAGTCTATAAACACTCCTCAATACCTGTCTCCAACAGCAACTCAGACTTTGTGTGTCTCTTTTCACATATCTCCTATAAACATTGACAATTATACTCAATAAATGGGACATGTTCCCAAGGTGCTTGCTGCACGATTCCTGCTCAGAGCACACCCTCACCAGGGTGTCCTCCTCTCTAGACTATAGGTTCTTTGAGACAAATTCTAGATAACTTCTTAGTCCTCAGGATCACATATACAGCATATAGTAAGTGCCAATTTTTTCTGGTTTCTTGGATGGGTATGTTTGAAATTATCATGCACATTAAGGCAAAAATAGGAGGAAATAATGCTAATTTCCATAATAACCTCTTCATTCTTTCCTGAACAACCTGAGCCTTCACCTAAGAAAGAGGTCAACCCTATGGCCCTGAAAGGGAAGACAGAGGCTCTAAACACTATGGTTAATTCCTCCTCAGTGAAGAGTCAAAGTTCCTGTTGCCTATACAAACAAAAGGCTTAGCCAGCCTAGCTACACAGACCTTTGTGTAGCACAGTGCTTGCTTTGGTTCTAGTCAATGCTGTGGTCTTTCCTGGCCTTGATCTAGATTAACCTACATCTTGTTTCTTGCCCTGCACTCCCAGACCCTTGGGTTCCACCTCAAATGCTATCCTATCAATATCATGGCCAACTTCAAAATTCTAAACTCCAATCATGAGCAGAGCTTTGTAAAGAGTATTGCAGTACTCTTCCTAGCGATTTTGGATTCCTACGTTTAAAAATTGCTTGTAGTATATTATGCTTTATGACAGAAGGACAAACTGAAGTTTCCTGATCCAAATATAGTTAACTATTTCAGAAGAAAATTAAACCCAGCAACAGAATCCATACGGTGTCCAGAGAAGCCTACATTTTTCTTAGCCAAAGGTATACCTAATCATAAATGATCAAGAGGATAAGGGTCCTATTTCAGAATTCTAAGATTCTTCCCCTCTTCTCATGCCAGGCATTCTTAACACACACAACTTAATTTACGTTCAAAACCCCCCCACATGGTGAAACTGTCACATCTGGGAATTTCCATTAAATGCCACAAAATGCACTTTTACAAAAAAAAAAAAAAGGAAACTAGACTTATATTATCTCCATCTGCTTGAGTGTAGAAATTATGGCCAAGATCTGGAACTTACAATAAAAAACTGACAGGACAGCACAGAAGCGTAGAACAAACAGCTATGCAACTACTCCAAAGACTGGCCATGCAATTTTAAAGAAAGCTTCAACAAGTTCAAAAATAGATCACGGTTACCTCAGAGCAAGACTTTACTTGTTTGGAAACCAAGGTTCCATTATTCTCAGAAGACTTGCGTTTGACACCTCCAATCCTTGTAGAATTACCTATAATATATATAAAGAGTTAAGCTGGCTTCCCTGTTCCACTTAATGTGAGGGGAAAGGAGAAGATATAGAAACATTTTATTCAAAAACGCATCTTACCACATGACACAAAGTTATCATGAACAACTTCAACATGAATCAGTGCTGGATCAACAATTTTCAGTGCTGGAATCTTAAAAATGAAAGCGACATTGGAAAATTAAATACGAATGTTAAAAATTAGTTCTAGTATCCTAACAATAGGGTACTTTACAATATCCTTTAAAACAGTTATATTAACTTGAGGATTAAACTAGGAACTCCTGACTGCCACCCCTGCCTCCTACCTCCAAGTTCTTAATCATTTCTACTTTTGCGTTAACATTTTATAAAGTAAGGGTTTAATACCCAGAAGGTCACATATCTCTTATATAGTTATGCTGCCCAGTAAATGATCTTACCTCCTCACAGTTGACTTGAAGAGTTTTAGATGCTGGGTTGCCATTTACAACAGTTGCTGAAAACCACTGAGTAGATGGATCCAAGCTATAGATTTTTACTTCTGAACCAACCAAGTTCTTATCACCTAAAAAAGAAAAAAGTTCTTAGAGCCATTTGTATTATTTCCCACAAGCATCATAATGGAAGACAATCTATTCCCAAATCTTTTTTAATGCAGTAGTCAAAAGTGAACATTAAGGGCTAGGGAGGTGGCTCAGTGGTAGAGCGCTTGCCTTGCATGCATGAGACCCTGGGTTCGATTCCCCAGCACCACATAAGCAAAAAGAAAAAAGCCGGAAGTGGCGCTGTGGTTCAAGTGGTAGAGCGCTAGCCTTGAGCTGAAGAGCTGAGGGACAGCGCCCAGGCCCAGAGTTCAGGCCCCATGACTGGACCCAAAAAAAAAAAAAAGTGAACATAAAATCTTTTTTTTATATAAAAAAATTTAATATAAGACAGACATTTCTGGGGCTGGGAAGGTGGCTCAGTGGTAGAGTGCTTGCCTTGTATACATAAGGCCGAATTTGATACCTCAGCATCACATAAGCAGAAAAAGCCAGAAGTAGCACTGTGGCTCAAGTGGTAGAGAATTAGCCTTTACCTGAAGAGCTGAGGGACAGTGCCCAGGCCCAGAGTACAGGCCCCAGGACTGACAGGAAAAAAAAAAAAAAGACAGACATTTCCTAGCCAGGCACTGGTGGCTCATGCCTTTAGTCTTAGCTATTCAGGAGGCTGAGATCTGAGGACTGGAGTTCAAAGCCTGCTAGACTCTTAACTCCAATTAGCCACCAGACAATATAAGTGGCACTCTGGCTAAAAATGATAGAGCACTAATTTTGAGCAAAGCAGCTCAGGGATAGTACTCAGGTCCTGAGTTCAAACCCCACAGCCAACAAAAACAAAACAACAACAACAAAAAAAAACAAAAAACATGCACTGGGAAGGTGGCTCAGTAGTAGAGCGCTTGCCTTGCATGCCTGAGGCCCTGGGTTCGATTCCTCAGCACCACATAAGCAAAAAGCCGGAAGTGGCGCTGTGGCTCAGGTGGTAGAGCGCTAGCCTTGAGCTGAAGAGCTGAGGGACAGCGCCCAGGCCCAGAGTTCAGGCCCCACAACCGGACCAAAAAAAAAAAAAAACAACCAAAAAAACAGACATTTCTGCCAAGTTAGTAGAAACTGTAAACTTTTTTTAAATCTCCATTTCCTACAGATTTAACTTATAATAGCAATACATTTATTCTACATGTTGTATCAGACCAAGAAGTGTTCAAGTATTCAAAGCAATCAGAAATAGCAAATTTAAGAATCCCAAGAAAAATGCTAAGTTTGACTAAAAAAAAAAAAAAATGACTATGAAGCTGGGTACTGGTGGCTCACACCTATATTCCTAGCTACTCAGGAGGCTGAGATCTGAGGACCATGGTTCAAAGCCTGTGGGAAAATCTTATCTCCAATTAAACCTCAGAAAACTGGAACTGGAGCTGTGGCTCAAAGTGGTAGAGCATTAGCCTTGAGCAGAAAAGCTCAGGTACAGCACTCAGGCCCTGAGTTCAAGACCCACAACCAAAAAAAAAAAAAGGACTATGAAACTAAGAAATTCAGTAACAGTAAATAGGATACAGGTTACAAATAAATGCCTTACCACCTTTTTTTCTTTCTTTTGGTGAATGTCCAAGGGCTTAAACTCAGGACTGGGTGCTGTCCCTAAGCTTTTTTGCTCAGGGCTAGGGCTCTACTACTAGAGCCACAGATCTGCTTGTTGGTTAAATGGAAATAAGAATCTCACAGACCTCCTGACCAGACTGGCTTTAAAATGTGACCATCAGATCTCAGCTACCAGAGTAGCTGGGATTACAGGCATGAACAATTGGCCCCTGGCTATCTTACCAATTTTATAAGACTGAAATTCCAAACATATCAAATTCTATGTCAAAATGTAAATAAGCTTTTAAAATATCTACTTTTAAGCAGGCCAGGTGGCTCACACCTGTAATCCTAGCTACTCAGAGGCTGAGATCTGAGGATCACGGTTCAAAGCCAGACCAGGAAAGTATCTCCAATAAACCACTAGAAAACCAGAAGTGGTGCTGTGGCTCAAGCGTGCTCGCCTTGAGCTGAAGAGCTGAGGGATAGCACCCAAGCCCAGAGTTCAAACCCCACAACTGACCAAAAAAAAAAAAAAAAAAAATCTACTTTACTTTTTACTTTTACTTAACTTCTCAACTTTTCAAATTTCAGAGGGTTTAGATTAACTAAATTCTCCAAGTCATCTGGAGAAAGCAACTAAAAGTTATTTTACATTTTTGATTTTTAGCACAAGAAATTTCCAATTTCAGCCGGTTACTGGTGGATCACGCCTGTAATCCTAGCTACCAAGGAGAGGCTGAGATCTGAGGGTTGAGGTTCAAAGCCAGCCCTAGCAGGAAAGTCCATGAAACTCTTATGTCCTATAAACCACCAGAAAATCAGAAGTGTTGCTTTGGCTCAAGTGGTAGAGCGCTTGCCTTGAGCTGAAGGGCTCAGGGACAGTGCCCAAGCCCAGAGTTCAAGCCCCACCGGACCAAAAAAAAAAAAAAAAAAAAAAATCAAAAAAACGATGAAAGGGGCTAAATCTTATCCTCTACTAAACTAATCAGTGGCCACTTCATAAACTATAACCAACAGGAGATCACACACATACCTTGTAGAAGGTGGCTTTCATCTAAATGTTTTACAATCAAAGCCTGGAATTCTTTACTGATGATCTGATTATCAGTAAGGGAAAGCCGAAGACTATTTACATCCTGTAAAAATCAAAGATTATTATACATAAGAAGCTTTGTTTAAAATTCCAGTAGACATGTTTTGAAGTTTGGAAATGGGTAAAAAGAATATCAGCCATTTGATGGCATCTAGCTATACAACTCCAGTGAACTGAATAGGTTGAAAAGTCAAAAACCTTAGAACATATAGGCAGACTGAAGAAATAAGTCAATCTGAATAAGGAACATGGAAATATTAAGAGTAGCTCAAAGCATAATTTTAGGCATGATATAATTTTTGTTATGGAAAATAATAGGAACGTTAACTACTAAAATGACCAATCTAAATCTCAACACACACACACACACACACACACACACACACACACACACACACACAAAATGTCCCAAACACAAAGGATATAAAAGCCACAAATTCATTCAAGTTCAAGAGGTAAAAGACACAGTAGTAGGCATAGGAAAGGAAGGTGTATACTGTCAATTTGTGGAAATTACTTTTAACAATTTACTTCATACAACTTTCACTTAACCAAACTACTATTCCAAAAGCCTCCTTCTTTACAAAAGTTAAGGAAGATGGCCCAAACTGAAAATGTGAATGAATAGCTAGGGCTTCAGAGTAAGCAAGTTTTGAAACACTCAGTTCTTGGCAGTAGCTCCATGCCTGGCAGTATTCCACAGTCTTCTGGTTTTGTGTGCACACCCAGTTATGATAAATGTATACAGAAACTGTCAATAGAAATAACCTGCCAAACCCAAATTCTATGAGGGCAAAGAAAAAAAAGAGCTTAAACAGTCATGTTCCAATAGGAGGACTCCACGCTTTCCTGCCACTGTGAAATGGTTACATAGTGGCCAAGAATGGTTCACCGATTAGGAATGAAAAAAACCTAGTCTCTTGGAGAGAGGGGATCATGTCTGAAAAATGCATTTCTTTAGCCAAGTAAGAGCAGATAGACCCAGAGTTTCCATAAAAAGCTCCAAATTCTCAGAATGGGTCATGCATGAATTTGTGGAGGGTTTTCTCATTCACTTAAACTGCAACAGTTTAAAAAACTTCCATTGGATTCTCCTACCACAAGATAAAATATGTTAATGGAAAGTACCCTACAGGATTCTTTAATAAAGGACAATTAATTCTAGCTTGCCTGAGATTTAGAGCTCATTATATATGGCCAGGTACTAGACACCTTGTCTTTTTCCTTATCCATATACTTGAATCAAATGTAATCTAAAGGCAGACCATAAGTTTCAACTCCAACTTTTGCATAAGCCAAATAATTTTTTCAGAGGTTATCTGCATTACTCAGAGCAAGCATCCTACAAGACAATCATATCCTCCAACATGACTTTTCATGCAGAAGCCGCCTAAAGAGAACTTTGACTAAATCTTATGAGTAAAGCATCCAATCATATATTTCTATTATACAAAATTCAAGCTGACAGCTCATACTGTCCCTTCCTCAGAAAAACAAAAAAATTATACTAACCTAGATTGTTCTTTTTCAACCATAGAAAACAAACTAAGAGCTCTAGCTTAACTGCAAAGCTTGGACACATGAAAAATGTAAATACTGAAATAATGCTAAGAAGTATTATTCAGTAAAAACTTCCATAACACTGCTACATGTTCTTGGTCCATAAGAACAAGTTTTCCTACCAGTTAAGACAGAAAAACCATTAAGATGCCTAGTGAACATATGAAGATAACTTTTATCTGAATCTAACTTAGGTAAAAAGCATCCTTCATTGTTCCAACTATACAAACATTACAAAATAAAGTTCACATGAAATTATATTAGAGGCCTTGTTTCTACTCACTCCCAGGATGAGGAAGTAAAAGTGAATGCAAGTAGAGACAAAACAAGTGAATTGGGCTTTCCAACAAAGATTCAGTAATCCAGAAGCTACTTCACAAAAGTTATCTTTCAGAAATAGGGAGGCTTAATAATTCTACATTACAGGTGTAAGACAGACCTGAAATCACAAATCACAAGTTGGTAAGGAGGATTAAATTAATAAGTATCATGAGTATTACTACAAAACCAACACTATTTTGGAGGTAGTGATTCTCTCCCAATAGCTTCCTAAGTCATATATATAAATCAAGAGACCCAATAGCCTAAATGTTAAGAAAAAGATGTTTATGAGCCAACTGGAAAGAATATATGTACACTGTCAAATGTCATTCTTAGTTGTTTTATAAAGCTGTAAAAGAAATACTGAACTAGCCAGGTGCCAGTGGCTCACACCTGTAATCCTAACTACTCAGAAAGCTGAGACCTGAGAATCATGGTTCAAAAAGCCAGCCCCAGCAGGAAAGTCTGAGACTCTTTATCTCCAATAAACCACCAGAAAACCAGAAGTGGCACTGTAGCTCAAGCAGTAGAGCGCTCATCTTGAGCTGAAGAGCTGAGGGACAGCACCCAGGCTGACCCCACGATTGCTGCCCTTCCCCCCCCCCAAAAAAAAAGCTAAACTAGCAAATACTGAAAAATGATACTTAGGCCTTTGAGTGTCTAACCACATTTTCATCAACTATCAATATATAACCACCTTGTTTTCTGTTTAAGGATGCCTTGTGCTGATTCATCACCCTTGAAATTATGGCCCAAAGCACTAAAAACTCACTTATCTAACACAGCCTGCTTGCACTTATGAACACCAAACAGCCCACTTCAATCCTACTTTGGAAGTCATTTTAAATAGTAAAATCATAATCACACACACATACACAAATATCAGTAAAATCACACACACAAAATACAAAACTGTGGCAATAAATAAGCTGAAAAATGACATGTGTGTTTATAGTGTGAGAACTAAACAGAAGGTAGAAGTATATTTACCTTGAGTTCTGCTGGAAATCTGCATTAGGCAACTCAAATTGTGTGTGGGCCAAGATGTATGTGAGCTACCACATACATCAGTCTTGGTTACAATTAAATTTGGCTGGATGTGACAGGAAAGCTTGTAATCCTAGTTACTTTAGAGGTGGCGATCAAGAGAATCAGGGTCTAAGACCAGACTGAACACACAAGTTTGTAAAAGTACCCAGGTACTCGGTGGTTCATGTCTGTAATCCTAGCTATTTATACAGAAGGCTGAGACTAGAGGACTGAGATTCAAAGCCAGCCCAGGCAGAACAGTCACTTTTTTTTGTTTTGTTTTTTCCTCATATTGGTACTGCAGCTTGAACTCAGGGCTTAGGTACTGTCCTTAGCTTCCTCAATCCAAGGCTGGTATTATACCATTTAGGCCATACCTCCAGTTCTGGCTCTGCTGCTTAACTGGCGTTAAGAGAGACTGCCCTCAATCTACAATCCTCAGACCTTAATCTCCTGAATAGCTAAGATTATGAGCCACCATTGCCCAGCCAAAAAAGTCCTTAGGACTCCATCCCATTTACTAGCAAAATGTTGGTACTAGAGTTGAGGAGGCTCAAGTGGTATAGAACTAGTTGTAAACAAAACAAGTTAAGAATGAGGCCCTAGTAACTAGCTGTTAACACACTACAGGGAAGGACAATGGCTGTCATTCCCAGTGATGTGGGGAAGCACATCACACCCTAAGGCATCTTGGATATAAATCCAGACTCCACTCTGAAAATAACCAGTGCAAGAGAGCTGGAGCCCTACCTAAAGTACAGTGCCTATCTAGCAAGCACAAGACCTTGAGTATAATCCCTTATATCACTAAATAAATCAATCAAAAATGTATTTTAGCAAGTAGGTAAATTCATAAACATAAATCCATGAATCCTAAGCGTTGACTATATACATATGTATGTTTATGTGCTCATTTATACATATAGATGTAAACTCTGAAAAATTACTTTCCTATTGCCTACATGTTTCCATACATACACCATCAACTTTAGTATTTCTTGTCCTGTCAACTCCAAACAGACAGCAGAAATTTATTCTCATGTTAAAAAACTGTATTTCTATTTTTATGGTTTAATACTATTCATGGTTGTTTTTTACCTGTATAGGCTTTAAAAGGTCTTTGGAAAGAAATACACTTTGCTGATCTCCTAGGAAGCGAACAGAAGTTATGGATCCCAAACCAGCTTTGTCCAACAGAGATTTATACATCTAGAACAAACCAAAACAAAACATTTGGCAATTTTACACAGAGACATAAAATAACAAAAGTCATTAAGATTTTATTGCAAGGATCCCATAACAATTATGCAGTCTGAAGATCACATGATTTTTATTTATACCCAGTAATTTTAGCCAGATACATACTTGGGCACCATTAACATACATTTCTACACATTCATGTTTACTTAAAAAAACAAAACATGTATGTTTTGCTGGGATGAGGCTGTCTTTAGAAAATTCTTTAAAACTGGGGAAAAAAGAAATTACAATGAACAAACTACAACTTCAATCACAAACCTCTATCATTCAAAAATCTCCAGCTTTTCCAACTCTGTATTACCCGAATCTTCCTTGTTCACACCTTTGTTTACGTTCCATAAATCCTGCTTTGTCCTTTCCAGAGAGTGATCATTCTTTGATGCAAACTGAGCAGACTTGAAATGCCTTACAGGCACAATCATACACTGATTTAAGTGTGTCTCCAGTCCCAATTTTTCTTTGCCAATAGGAACTTTTGGCATCATGAGATCAAAACTAGGAACTCTTCAAGGGCAATGAAGGCTTCTATGCAGCTTACAGGCCACTGCTGCCACACAGAGTGGCACACACAGTGGGAAGCTATCCTGTGGTTTACAACAGACACTAGAAATGTATATTAGGTCACGCACTCAAATCTTAAAACACTACTAGGGCTAAACCAAGTAGATCTTAAATTTGTGTAACTAGTGGTTTCTGAGATCTAACCTAGACAATACCCCAAATTACCTCCATCCTGTTTTTCGAATGAAGAAAAGGCTGTAGGAAAGCCATGAGACCTGCCCCAGTCATAGAGCTCCCAACAGAGTCTAAGCATGCCCTTTTTGTCAATCATGTGGACTACTGTCTCCCTGTGGTCTAGATACAGACATGTCACATAGATTGTCCTTGTTTCCCCCAAAATGGATGAAATGTTCTATCAGTTTAATAAAGCCCAAGCTTTACTCACTATTGCAGGCCACTGAGTAATTCGTTCAGAAATTTCAGGCGACTTTCGCTCAGCCAAGACCAAATTATGTTCTACTAAAAATGCTCTCCTTAAATGGCTATAGACTTCTATCCATCTTCTCTTCCTCCAAGATTCCCCATCAAACTCCACACACACCTACACAAACAATAAGATAAACAGATTCAGTTAAGAAAAATGGATAAATTAAAATGAAGTTGAATTGTACCATTATTATTTTACTGGAAGCCTAAATCTGCTGTGTTTCCTTCTTCCTGTTCCCTAACTTTTCTACATAAGGAACTAGCACCCAGCTTTGGCTCCCAGGGTTTTTAAACAAACATAACACCAGCGTGAAAAGTGTTTTGCATATGTTAGATGTGTCAGTGAGGAAATCAATTTAAAACTCAAAGAGTACTTTCCACATCACATTGTAATTCTGTTGACACAGCAAGTACACTTAGAAATCCAAACTTTTTATCCTCCTACCCCCTTATATAACTCTAAACTCCTCTCATATCAGGATTTAGCACAACACCTAATATGTCGCCAATTTTTAACACCCATTTTGAGAGCTTAAAGCTACTTATTTTCTAAAAGAGAAAATCTAGTTAATGACCCAAACTATTCCAGAACTACCTCTAGTTTCTCCATCCATGGGATGAACTCTCAGGGCTCTAGCATGCTAGCCTAATACTCTAACCACTGAGCTACCTCCAATGAAGTAGTAGTTTTCTAATTAATTGTGATGCTTGCTGCTTCTGATTTGCAAAATACCTTTGGTTACAACACTTACAACTTGTATAACTCTAAAGACAAAAAAGGAAAAACCCCGCAAAACCCTCCATCAGTAAACTGTTCAGGGCAAAAACATCCTCTCTTGCTAACTCTTATCAATATGCTACCTCTTATTCTAGTTCTACAGTACTTTTTTGTATTGACAGATTTTAATAAACTCAAATTCAATGTGAAAAATCACTATTTTTATTTAAAATTCTTCTTATGAAAAGGCTTCTCATTTTTGGTTTTAAGGGTTAATAAACCTATTACGTATCAAATCTGTTTACAAATTCAGACATATATCATTCCTATCTCTTTTCAACATTCAGTTTACTAAAAAAACTTTCACTAATCTGTCAGAACTTCATGAATCCTTTGCTCAAGAAGTCTTCTCTTATGAATTTCTCTCCACTAGTCCCCTTGAAAATTATTCTAGTTTTGTGACATTTTCTTTCTAGTACATATTTATGGTTAACTGACATACATGTTTTAATAGTATGTTGGACAGTTCAAACTAGATATTTTAATACATGAATTATTTATTGTTTAATCAAACTAATCTCAAAACCTTTCAACCACCTTTCACTTTTGAGATGAAATTGGATTATGAAGCCATCAGAAATGTCAAGGGAAATGTTTCAAAGTTCAAAAATAGGAAACAGAGCATGGTTTTGAAGTTCTTATATATATCACACCTCAGCCTAAAATTTAATTCTTGTTTTCTTATTCCAAAAGAAAATGCTTGTCTAAAATCTCAAAGTATGGCATTCAATTATAAGAAGTAAACAGTTTTTACTATATTACATTGTGCTAGAAGCTTCTAATTTTGCATAGCTTGATTGCAATAGAAATCACCAGTATTTGTTTTGATTGTATCAAATGAAAGGCAAAAATTGAAGAAAGCACCTACCTGCTGCCAATAGTAGAAAATGGTATATTATAGAAAATAAAGGCTATTTTTTTGCCAAAGGTACCTCGAAGAACTAAAGTGACGAAACACTCAAGGAAAAGGCACAAAGGAAGATAAAGACTTATAGGCAAGTTGGTGAAAGAGGGCATCCCAACTCAAGTGAACAGAACAGCTTGCTTTACACTGAGGAGGTCCTTACAATCCTACTTAATTAAGACCTGTTACTCTAATGTAGAAAATGCCATTGCCCCATCCATACATTACTTCTAAACTACTTCTTCATAGTAGTCTTCTACTACTTCATAGTAGAAGATACTGTAAGGTATTTACTTATTTGTAGCCACACTACGTGCCAAGCAGTATTCTTAGGTACTAGAGAGAGAAGCTAGTAAAATTAAGTGCTCTACTCAATCTGAATGTTAAAACCCAGCCTTTTAAGGCCAGGAGACAAACTTGGGTAAGTTACTTAATTCTTTGAGTCTCAATTTCCTACACTAAAAAGTACATCTTACTAAATATGACACTTGTAAGAATTAAATAAGGAATCTTAATACATATTACTCATTTAATTATTATTCCTACTGTCACTGTATTCACTTTTACCTCTGTAACCATCTATCATTTTTGTTTTTTTTGGGGGGGGGGGGGAGTTATTGCTTTGTCTTCTAAGTAACTGTTACAAAGTCTTTCTCGTAACATTCAGTATCAACTAAGCAAGCCAGTCTAGACAGACTTGTATTTGGACTAATAAAAGAACATTTGGACTACCAAAAGAACAGTTGTATACTACCTGGGTTTTAGTTATTCATATTTATCACAGCCCCATTCACCAAAAAATTCTATTTCCCTAAGCCTAGATATAAAAATGATCTCAGTTCCCTGGTTCCTACCTGCATTTCACTGAGTACAGTGAAATGAATTTTATTATTTATTTATTTTTGTTGATCATGGGGCTTTCAACTCTAGGCCTGGGCACTGTCCCTCAGCTCTTCAGCTCAAGGCAAGCACTCTACCAATTGAGCCACAGTGCCTGTTTTCTGGTGCTTTATTGTAGATAAGAATCTCATGGCCTTTCCTGCCCAGGCTGGCTTTGAACTGTGATCCTCAGATCTCAGCCTCCTATAGGATTACAGGCGTGAGCCACGGGGTGCCAGGCCGTGAAATGAATTTTAAAATCCTTTTTTTGTTATTGTTAAACACAACACGGTACCTAAGATTAAGCCAATTACTTTTGCTACTCAACTAAGGGATGCAATGACAAACCATGTTTAGAAGAGAAAATATAGTCATAAATCATAATTAGAAAATAGAGCTGAGTTGTGAATGAAGTTTGTGGGTAATGCAGAATTCCAACAAAACCAAAACTGTTCTTGAAATGTCAGTTGTCTCCAGGTGCCTCACCTGGATTCAAATCATCCTTCCATCATTAAGTAGCTAATTATGCAAGTCTGCATCAGTCTTTTTCCTGAAAGCAGTTCCTCTGAAATGAATGAGGAACCTGCCCAAAGGTTAGAAATAGGAACATGGAGCTGAAAAAGACTGCATGTTAAGGATCTCTTTTCCTTAAACGACAAGCTTTAACCAACACAGTAAAGGACGGCAACATCTAATCTTTTGTCATCTTCCAAAGAACTGAGGACTTATAAAGTTTAAACATCATTTCCATTCAGATCCAATAAAACTAACAATTTTTATTTGGCAAGAGAAATAACCCACAAGCATGACTGAAATTACAACAAAGCCCAAGTAGGTTGGCTATCCTTGCACACTGGCTGTATAAAGATGAAAACCTGACTTGGTAGAATAAATGGAATGAAGGATATGGCAGAACACTGGGTCACACTATGTGACAGTTAAGGCAGCCTCTGGAATAAATCATTCTGGGTTAGAAAACAGGTTGTACTAATTCCCAGGTAGCCCTGCTAGCCCAAAGTATCTTCATCTGTAATGTACAATAAATGTACTTAGTACCCCAAACTCTGCTGTAAGGATTAGGTAAGATTATGTCCGTTAAGTGATCAAAATGATGCTTGGCATGCAGATAAGCAGTGCTCATTCTTTCAACATGAAGAAAGGACACAGAATAGGAACTTAAAAATCCATAATCACATACGGTTTTCCCAAATCTCCTGCAGATTCATACTGGTGTTGACATGCACGGTCACTCTAAAAAGTGTTCAAATGAACAATGTTCCAGAGTAAGCAACATCTATTTCACTCCCAATGCTATAACTTGTTTCCTCTGAGTAGCTTTCAAGAAAAAGCAAAGAACACGAGCATGAAACACATTACTCAGGGTGGAAATCTAAGCTCTTGTGACGAGCTTCCTTCAAGTTATCATCACTTTGGAGCCTTTGTTAGAGATCTTTTTTCAGATGTTTTTGCACAAAGAAGTCTTTGTTGGCACAATGGCTTCCCCACTGGTTGTTTCCAGACAATCTTTTCACACCAATATTTCTATTGGAAAGTACAATCAGAATTCATTCCTCTTTCAAAAGATCTAACTGAAAAAGGTTGTGGAGTGCACTTAGGATTTTAAAAATCACTGGTGGCACTTGTTCCCTTCTCTCCTCCATGCACTAAGTACAATATTTCAAAGCTATTCCTCCAATACAACAAATACAGGACAGCTCCACCCTGGCCCTCCATATATGGTCATACCCCTCCATCCATCTACAGCCAACCAACTGCCCGCTCCAGATCTAACTCACCCTCAAAGGCCGAACCAAACTTACCTCCTCCCTCTCCACTCACTTTGTTTTTATAAGTCAAAAAGTTGGAGGGGGGGGGAGAAGTTTGGTAATAAAGGTAAGGAGAAACCAATCCAAAAAAAAAAAAAATCATCTCTGAAAACAAACTCCAGTCCCTAGCCAACGATACTTCATGATTCCAAATGTCACCCACCTGCCCTACCTACTACTAGTAACAATAGCCCTCCCTTAGGGGAAATAATCAGAGTCCCAGTGGGGCCCAGGGCTGACATTAATGAAGCGTGTCTGAACAACCCTGAGCCCATTATTAAATGCAGGCAGGCAAGAGCTCTAGGCCAAACACACCTCGGCTCTATCACAACCATTTCAAAGACTTTCAAGGTCTAGTTTTCTGCACCTTCAGATCAGATGCCAACTTTCTGATCGCCGATCAAATAAAGAGAGAGAGGGGACGAGAAAGAGGAAGGGGGCCGATCGTCGCGTTACCAAGGTAACCGCGAAATGTCCGGCTGCCAAAGCCCCGGGGACAGTTTTTACCTTCAGATCCTTCTTGGTAACGTCGGTGTGTGAAACAGCCCGAATGGTCCCGGACAACCAGGGCCATTCCGCGACGCGCTCCACGTCCCAGCTGTCGTGGCCGCCGTCGCTGCCGTCGGCCGCGGACAGACTGAGGAATCGCTTCCCCACCAATACCGGCCAACTTTCTCCGAGCGTGAGCACCATGGTTTCCACGCCGGCAGGAAGGGCTCCTCCCTGAAAAGACACAAAAACAAAATGCGATGGGGGCGGCCGCTGGGAGGGGAGTCGAGAAGAGAGGCTGAGTCCAGGAGGTGGTTCAACTGGACCGGACCGGACCGATAGCCCGATCCCCACCCACCTAGCACCGAGGACCCCACCCCAGGCGGACTCTGCACCCCGATAGCCCCCCGAGTCCCTCCCCCACTGACAACACGGGCCCAAGCGCCGCGTGACCCTCGCTCCACCAAGTTTCCCTTTTCCAAAACCTTCGAGCTGAACGTAAGAAGCGAGTGAGAGGAGAATTATCTACAGCTCAAGTGGCATCACAAAGTGTTCCCCCCTCACCCCAGAAAAGAAAAGCCCCCCCACCCATCCACCCAATGGCGAGAGCCCGTCCCAGGCGGCCCGGTCCCCGCCCCGGGCGGCCCCACGGGGAGAGAACGCGCTCACGATTCCGCACTTGCCCCGCAGCTCTGCCCCCCGCCCCCAGCTTCCGGGCCGCCGAAACCCCGGAGCCCCTCGCCCAGGCCTGGGAGAAACCAGCGGGGCAGAGGGGCCCGGGCTTAGCACCTTCACCATTCTTCCATCTCTCTCCGCAGCCGAGGCCGCGGCGTTCTTACCCCGCCTCCCGCCTCCCTGAGTCACCCACGGTAGCAGCCACCGTTCCTAGCCGCCCAGCCGACTCCAGCTCTGACTTGGTTCGAGAGCTCTCACAAGACACGCACAGCCTCATAGATCCGCCCCCCTGGAGCCGCTTCCGCTGATCATTGGCTGAGTCGCCGGAGCTGGGCGAGGCTTGTGGGATAACGGCCCGTCACTATTGGCCAGCCGGGTGAGGGCGGGGCGAGAGAAAAAAACAATTCCTTGGCTGCCTCCTCCCTCCCCCACCCTCCCGACTCCCCGCCGACCCCCATTAGGTTAAAGTACTCGGAACGTAAGCGAGAGATCCCTCCGCCACAGGCCCATTCTTTCCGTTTGTTGCCTCACAGTATGCAAAAGAAGTCCCGCGAAATCGGTTATCAACTTTGGGGCCAGAGAGAAATTGCTATGGCGCACAGATGAGAGTATAAACAGAGATCAGGGGCTGCAAGTGCCTATTGGATTGCTCCTCACGTGCGTAGGCTGTCGAGCGAAGACGAGCCTTCCACTTGGCGGAGGAATCTCACAGGAAAGGGGTGAGGGCGGTACGAAGTCTGCGGGGGAGGGGAGCCGAGGGGACGTGCGGTTTCAGGCGTACTCAGCTAGGGGGAGGAGCGACCGTGCATTGGAAGCTCCTGCGCATGCGTCTGGACGAGCAGAGTCGGGAGCTGGGGCTGCTGGGTGAAATGGCCGCGAGAGGCGCAGGCGCACGTGGTGCTGATCAAGAGCGTTTAAGTCCGCCATTTTGAAGGGTAAATGAAGAAAGACATCGAGTCTCTGGGAAATGATGTGCGTTAAATCCAAAGCAGAAAAGGCCCTTCACTGCAATGTGACTTTTTGTGTAGGGAAGAGTAAGAAGTTGTTTGGAGACTTACAAAGAAATTGGAAAAATAGACGAAGACCAATTTTGATGCAAGTGTTATGAAAGAGAAGGTGACTTTGAAGGACAAAAGAGGACAAAGATGATTGTGTACTTCGGACTGGAACTTTCTTGGCTGAAGGAAGAAAGGGTGCAAGTAATTGAAGACTAACTGATAAAGACTGGTGCTTCACCTAGCATCACATTTACTCCTTAAGATAACGAGTGAAGAATTCGTGTTCTTAAGTTTACAAGTGTGAAAAGGAGAAATCAGAAAAAGTTCAGAAATAAAGGATTATTTGATGCAAGTTAATGGCTGGTGTTCATTTTGAATATTTAGGTCTTGGATACATGATCTTAAATTTTTAAAGTTAATAAGAATTAAATCGTGTTTATAGTTTGCAGACCACTAAGATGGCAGGAAGCTGGACAAAGAAAACTTTCCCAGTTTAAGAAAAGGCAAAAATGAGAACGAGAAAAGCACAAACTAGAGGGAGGTATGGTAAAAATCAAGTAAGAAAAGTTGTCCAAACAACACTGCTTATAATAAATATAAATGGGTTAATTTTAAATCATAAGCATTAAAAAATCGATATTATAAAAATAGTATTGAACACACAAAAAAAGTCATACAATATAAGAACCTTGAAAATGTTAGGCTAACAATTTTAATCTGATGGTAATGAAGGGGAAGCAATATAGCAATATTAATATAGAGTAATGCATCATTTAGTGATAGGAGTAAATTCTGAATAATAAATATAGCTGGATGATTTTGTCTTCAGGATTGGTAAGGGCCTTAAGGAGGTTCTCAAGAAGAAAGAATAGGGAATCTTGATGTGTTACTTAGATTCTCTGGTTTTAGAGAAAAAGAATGTCCAGGTACAGGATAAGAAGCTGGCAGATTGATTCAGCAAGTAGGAGAAAGTAAAGATGAACTTCAAAGGGAAGCAGGGCCTATAGAACAGACAAAAATAGGCTTGTTTAGCAGAAATATGAATACTGAAAGAGTTGGGTATTCCTTTGAAAAAGATCTCTTTTGTTATGGGCACCTGGCATATCCATTCATGTCTGATGCTATAGTGATTTGTCATTATCAGTTCAGCCTAGAGATATTAAGCCTAATAAGTTGGTTAGTTCCAGTTCTTGCAACATAGACTTTTAATTGTACACTTTTATTGACTATCCTTTAGACCAGAGAAGGAAGTATACCAGGCATATTTCTGGAAAGTATGCATGCTTGGTTCCTAGGCATAATATCATTTGAAGTAAGGATGAGTGTGGGGTCGGGAAGGTGTTTTGTTTTTTTTTTAACTGCTAGTTGTTGCTCAGTGAAGCTTAAAGAAAGGATAATGTTTATGCATTTCTAATCGAGTTGCATATTAACACAATGTTTATTTCTGAATTCCTGGGTTTTGACTCACATGTCCTATATCAGTCTATCCTGCCTCAACGTGATCATTGTACTAATATCACAGAGTACATTTACAAGAGCTAAGATGACTAAAATGTCACTAAATAATAAAATCTAAAGAATGAATTTTATATGACTAAAGGATAGAGTCTATAAAGGCAGTATGTATTTGTGAACTATTAGGACTGAAAACATGGACTAGCCTAAGCTAACATTACACATCTATCACAGAAATAAGAACCCTAGAAATACTTTACAAAAGCAGGTGAGCCAGGTGCCAGTGGCTCACACTTGTAATCCTAGCTACTGAGGCAGAAGTCTAAGGATTGCAGTTCAAAGCCAGCCTGGGCATGTCAGTCTGTGAAACTCTTATCTCCAATAAACCACCAGAAAACCAGAAGTTGTGCTGTAGTTCAAGTGGTAGAGCACTAGCCTTGAGCTGAAGAGCTGAGGGACAGCGCTCAGTCCCAGAGTTCAGGCCCCACAACCGACAAAAAAAATGGTGAAAGAGGACTTAGATGGCATAATTAATCTGAAAAGTAATTGCTAAGAGATAAACAAGCTCTACTAAAACTCAAGGAATACAATGTGTGTATTTTCTTCATGGGAACACAACTTAGAAAAGATGGAAAGGTATCTAATACTTTCTAGCATCTGAAAGCTCTTATTACCAAATCTGAATCAGGAGAATATAAGAAAGGATGATCATGGCTCAATCATACTTGTGAACATAAAAAATTCTTCTATAAAATGTCAATAAGTTAAATCCAGTACTGTATTTTAAAATAATCACTAGATTAATTAGGATTATTAGATAAATCAAGTCACTTCAATATTAAAAAGGATGAAATTAGAAGGGAAATGATGAAAAATGTTTATTTTAGTAAATATTATAGAGCAGACACTTACACTGAATATCTGTTCATGGTTTGAATTATTTTTTTTTCCCAAACTAGAAACCTAGAAATTTTGAGAACATGCACTTTAAAGTGAATATTCATTCATGAGGTTTTGTTGTTTTTGTTGTTGTTGGTCGTGGGGTTTGAACTCTGGGCCTGGGTGCTATACCTGAGCTCTTCAGCTCAAGGCCAGCACTCTACCACTTGATCCACATCATCACTTATAGTTTTCTGGTGGTTAATTGAAGATAAGTATCTCTTGGTCTTTCCTGCCCAGATGGCTTTGAACCAAGATCCTCAGATCTTAGCCTCCTGAGTAGCTCATTCATGAGTTTTAGAAATGATAAAGTTCACACCCGGGCGCCGGTGGCTCACGCCTGTAATCCTAGCTACTCAGGAGGCTGAGATCTGAGAATCGCGGTTCAAAGCCAGCCCGGGCAGGAAAGACCGAGAGACTCCTATCTCCAATAAACCACTAGAAAACCGGAAGTGGCGCTGTAGCTCAAGTGGTAGAGCACTCGCCTTGAGCTGAAGAGCTTAGGAACAGCGCCCAGGCCCAGAGTTCAAGCCCCATGACCGACAACAAAAAAAAAAAAGAAATGATAAAGTTCCAGAAAGCTAAGAAGTCTTCTGTTTATTAGAAAACACCTACAAAATTGCTCATTTCAACATTGTTTATGGATACAACAAGTGAAGATAATCTAAATGTACTTCAACTAAGAAATAAGTAAATAAAACTAATAAATGAATATTATGATACATATATTAAGAACTATAGAGCATTTTAAACAAATGAAAAATATTTAGACTACAAAAATACCCTTTGGATGAAAAAATTGCATATGGAAATATTTAAAAACTATATATGTTCCATTAAAATATGCTAAAACATAATGGGTACTGGAGTATACACAGTAGAATTGGAGACACTAATCACAAGTAATTAGCATGGTTTTCAATCTCTCATCTTTTCTATTTAGATATTTTTGTATGTGTGTCAATCATGGAGCTTGAAATGTGTACCTGAGCACTGTCTCTGAGGTTTTTTGCTCAAGGCTAGTGCTCTATCACTTTGAGCCACAACACCACTTCTGTTTTTCTGGTGGCTAATTGGAGATAGGAGTCTCTTGGACTTTCTTGTCTGGGCTTCTTTTGAAACACAATTCTCAGGAATGATGTGTCCCAGTTGACAATTAATAAGGCATTAATTAATTATTACTCAATATCCTATTATTGTTTATCATATATGTACATATATCCATACATATAATTACATACTTCATAGAATGAGACCAATATCTATATATTATTAAATTATGCATTATGTGTTACTACCAATTATTAGGTATTTAATTATGTCTCCAAGTAATTTTTATTTTGTTACTGCTTAATAAAATATTAATTAAACTTAAAAAAATTCTCAGATCTCAACCTCCTGAGTATCTAGGATTATAGGCAGGAGCCATGGGTTTCTGGCTGTACAGTAGATTTTTTTTGCTTTAACTTTAATGGGCAAGTATAATTTTTATATGTTTATGAAATAAAACATGATGTTTTGATATTTGTATTTATTGTGAAATAGCTACATCAAACTATTAAACTATGCATTACTCCATACAAATTATCTTTTTGTGGTGAGAAAACTTAAAATATATTCTTGGCAATTTTCAAAATATACAATATGTTATTGTTTTCATCATGATATACAATAGATCTCTTGCTGTTTCATCCTGTCAAACCGAAATTTTATCTCCTTTGACCACATCTCACCCATCTCTCCACATCCTATAAATTCTCTTATTTTTATAAGATGAATGTAATATTTTACTTTTGACATCTAAAGTTAACTTTAAATCTTATGAATGGAGTCTACTATACTAACAGGTTAAAG